TCACAGACCGTCAAAAAGGAAAATAAATAGGAAAACGGTAGTGAATGTTGTAAGTCATGATTTGTGTCACAACACTGATTGCAACATTCAGGAGACTGAACTCGATAATGGCCACGGCATAAGCATTGTTTCGTCATAGCCACCAAACCATAATAGCATAATTTGCCATCTGCAACTTTTCGCATAATATGTCATTTTCGCATAGTTCTTGGGCTGTCGCATATTATGTCACTGAATTTAGAATCCCAACACATGCCCATTACTACAGCATATTGCATACACAAGAACACAAATGTAATAATCTGTTGCATTGTTATCTAGAATCCACAGCATAATCTGTTATTTTGGAACACTGCTATTATACATAATTTGCAAGAAAACTGCGACCAGATGGTCCCTGTGCTATACCCTCAATTACAGACAAGAACAAGTTTGAAAGGGTCCAATCTTGTGATTTAAGTTTCCAGTCGGAGCGACGTAAGTCGTCACCATAACTTAACACTAGAACTAGCTGAAACAAGAGATCATATTATGCTCGAGAGTACATCAATTGAGAACATTAGCAGCATTTGTAACCAATGCTCAAATCCCAGACATTTCTGCAGTATTAATTTCACCAGGACACTACCCAACAGCTCACTTAACATCTCGCTATAATAAAACACATTACACATGACCCAGTTCCTGGACACGCCTTTAGATTAGTCTACCAATCCAGTGTTGTAATACCCACGCCTTCTCATGCCCTGTGTAATAACTCATTATTACTAAAATTACATTTACTAATATTACTTGTAACCCATTAAACTCTAATTAATCGTGACGATGATAATTGCTCCTCCCGACATACAGCGAACACTGCACGTCGTACCCAACAGTTGCACACTGACCACAATGACCCATCACATATATTCTATACTCACGTCACTTCGTGACTAACCCACACTTATTAGATAAATGGTGAATAAATTGGGGTTAGTTGAATGGTCACACCTAACATAGGGCAATCATCTCTCTCTCTCTCTCTCTCTCTCTCTCTCTCTCTCTCTCTCTCTCTCTCTCTCTCTCTCTCTCTCTCTCTCTCTCTCTCTCTCTCTCTCTCTCTCTCTCTCTCTCTCTCTCTCTCTCTCTCTCTCTCTCTCTCTCTCTCTCTCTCTCTCTCTCTCTCTCTCTCTCTCTCTCTCTCTCTCTCTCTCTCTCTCTCTCTCTCTCTCTCTCTCTCTCTCTCTCTCTCTCTCTCTCTCTCTCTCTCTCTCTCTCTCTCTCTCTCTCTCTCTCTCTCTCTCTCTCTCTCTCTCTCTCTCTCTCTCTCTCTCTCTCTCTCTCTCTCTCTCTCTCTCTCTCTCTCTCTCTCTCTCTCTCTCTCTCTCTCTCTCTCTCTCTCTCTCTCTCTCTCTCTCTCTCTCTCTCTCTCTCTCTCTCTCTCTCTCTCTCTCTCTCTCTCTCTCTCTCTCTCTCTCTCTCTCTCTCTCTCTCTCTCTCTCTCTCTCTCTCTCTCTCTCTCTCTCTCTCTCTCTCTCTCTCTCTCTCTCTCTCTCTCTCTCTCTCTCTCTCTCTCTCTCTCTCTCTCTCTCTCTCTCTCTCTCTCTCTCTCTCTCTCTCTCTCTCTCTCTCTCTCTCTCTCTCTCTCTCTCTCTCTCTCTCTCTCTCTCTCTCTCTCAAACACACGACGCAGCACACATATTATTGTTGTAGTATAATAAGTATTTGCTTTGTCTTAATTCACCCAGCCCATCGGCTGCTCTAATTTTATTATTCGTATAGTGTGTACTTTCTCTAGTCGTCAGTATGACATACACATTGTGTTAGTTCTTGTTGTGGTATGACACTGTTTTAAACACTGTGTCTTTGAGCGGCGCTGATAAAAGTTTTGTGACCAGTTTTTTGTGGTGGTGAGGACAAGCGGTTACAGTTAAAGCTTTATAGGCGGGGAATTGATAACTGAATAACTAAATTCCATGAGGACCGTTGTCCACACGTTTACAGTAAAACCCCTGTAGAGGCACAGTTTGTGGAACTAGAGGTTCGACTGTGTAACTGCATTTATGTGGTGTGACTTGAAGCAATTCTATTTTCTTACCTTTAGTTATTTTCAGGATAACAACTCTTGTGAATTCAATAAAATATTTCATCTTTGTATCCTTGCATCACATACTAGTTATATTAATAGTTTAGATCATTCGAGATGGACATTTTCTGGCATTGACTTGTTTGTTCACGGTACTGTGTAGCTTAATTTCTAGTGTTCTTGTTCTCAGCTAAAGTTAACATTGACAGAGTCCCAGCATGATACCTCAGTTATTTTCAAAGTGATCAGAACTGTTGCAGTGCGTGTTACAGAATGATGAAATCACCAATTGTTAGACTTTTTACCTTGAAGTTTTTAGGATTCTTATGCGACAGTACACCTCAGTTTTAGGGTAAATGTTGACACCACTACCAGTTAAACCTGCTATCTGGTAGCACCTAGTTTTTTAGGATTTCAGCTCTGTCTGCTCTACTTTGTCCGCGGCAAACTGTTTCTAACTTTCAAGTACACGACATGTTTTCCCTGGGAGAGTGTTGAGAATCCAAGTGTAGTTGGTACGAGGTCTACAAGAGGGAGACAGAGCTGTTGAAAAAGTTTTTCCAGAGTTTTTAAAATGGAACATATTAAATATGTGGTCGTTGGTAAAGTTAACGTTCTGCAGCGAACTAAGGCTGATTTAATAAGAAAACGTGGGAGGTCGGGAGGTGTAGAAAGGTTCTTAACTAAGTCATAGGTACAGAGCTTTAATGCTTGTAAGCCTATGAACTCTACCCTTCTCAGACTCAGATTTAACCGATTGTAGGGACTTCTTTTTGTTTAAATTGTTGACTTAAATCCGACTTTCCCGAAAAATTATCGCCGAATTATGGTACTTTGATATTTGTCTCATTTTACATAATAAGACTAAGTGTATCTTTTGTTCACACTCATTAAAGCGTGTTGTTTCGCTTATTAAGTGCGTCTCTATCTCAATACTGGGTCATAAGTAAACAATCCTCGGCAGACACGAACTCATTCTTTGCTCTCCTTAAATTAAATACATTCGGATAATTTCATGGAAGGAATAAAAGTCTCATTTCACATCTGAATGAGTATCTCTCTTCTTTCACATAAGCCACACTGTGCGCTGTGCGCACGTGCTCTTTGTTCTATTTTGCTACATTAATAACAGTTCCAACACTGAATACAGTGCTCAGTGAACTTTTATTCTTTTAGTATCATTTTTATCTTGCTAGTTAAAAAATTGATCAAATGCATCTTAAAACGTCTTCAATGGAAACGTACAAACTTGTAAAGTATTAAAGCCACTTTTCGATGAAGAATTCTCGAATAAAGTAAGCGCGGTCTCTTTTGGCACACATCACGAAATTAGCACAATTAGTTGCCGATCGTGGTCCTAAACCACTCCGTGTGATTTTATCTATTTAACATCTATATTTAACGTGGTATATTTCACGCACGTAACGTATCAAATTGCTGACACCACAAAAAGAAAGTGTCGTATCGTTATGCAATTATTCCCGCATAGATTAGCCGTCATTAGCCACTGGCAGACGAGCATTTATTCAGAAATTTTTGATAATTTTATCCGACGTCTGGGCGCATTTCAATATTATCTTACAAAGATGTCTTCTATTCTCTCTTACCAGCGACAGATTCAACTATTCATTGTTCCCCGTAACGCATTTAGTCTACTATTACAATATATATATTTGGTGTATGTATTTTGACTGTATTTATGCTGAACGGTTGATTTGTCTACTGTTGCCATCTCATGGGAATTTACATGCCATCTGATGGAACAATGTACCCGTTCGACTGTTTAGTTGGAGATATGCTCACCGTTACATTGGACTAATTGCTTTGGTTATAATATCTTGTCAATGTACCTCATACAGGGTATGTGTTAATTACTGTATTGAGTTTAATGAAGGACCTTTATTAACCGTTTACCTCAGAAATGTTAATTCGATATGTGTGTATTTTCAATGTAGTTTAATTATACCGTACACTTGGTATATGGTGCACTGTTTTTCTTTTCCGATATCCTGGAAAATAACCGCTTTTAAGACAACATTATCACGGGTTTTATGACCAGATCGTAATTAAAACTAGGTCTTAATCCCACCAAACCCTCCTCACTTTATATTTTACATAGTATTGTCTACTTAACAATGCAGATTATACACGCGCAGTAATTGCATAATCTTTTGTGTTAAAATAGTTGGACTAATGTAAATGCGAGGTTGAGTTTAGAGACATGATTAAGTTATCGATGGGATTTTTGGATTTTTGACCGTTGTAAAAGCCTCAGAGAATAGATTTTTTTTGAATATTAAATGAGAATAATGAGAATGATGAATAATTCAAAATCTAGAGCTAAAAATTGAATTTACAATTATTAACATATTGATGGTAGTAACTAGGCAAACGAGCCCTTCAATCTCATTCTGCTCCACAACTGCCCCACAGTTATCAACATACTCTGATCACCAATGATCTGTAGTTCTATTATTTGTAGCAAAAAAATGATCAGTTGAGACTTTATACTTTATAGTACTACTCTTATGCAGACCATAGATAATCAGCTGAGACTTTGCAGTCATTGTTTCGACATCAATAACCAGCTCTCCGGAACGAAGATACTTCTAGTTCGGCCTACTTCAAAGTGGCACTAAAATTACAGTAGTTATAATAATTGCGATGTATGAGAGATCAGGTGTTTTAAAATTCGATCCCATGGACCTTCAGAGAATTCTTTGTTCGGATTTCTTGCGCCCTTTTTCTCTTTACTGACAAGTTTATTTTGTATTTAAGTGGCAGTCCATTTTTGTGAAATGATGCCTAAAACTGTAAATTTTCTGTATCAAATTTAACTTTATTTATTCATTATTTGTGTTTCTTAGAAGGACTAAAAACATGCGATACAACAATTAAATTAGGGGCCATAATTAACGAGCTTAATATATCAGAATGCGATGAACGGGTCCCCCCATAAGTGCTGTAAAAAGAACATTATCAGACGGTGGTAAGAGCAACAGACAGTAAATCAGCCAGAAAATGAGTCCGATAGATGGAAACACAGGGGTGGATGAGGCAACCGAGGCAAGCGAGGACGAGAGGAAGCGTAAGTTGGAATATTAGTCAAGTGATAAAATGGTATTAAAAGCATTAACGTGATGACGTGTTAAAGCGACGTTAATCGTTGGTGTTCAGTTTTTAAGTTCTAAAATCTAGGAGCATACTAAAGTCAAAAAACATCTAGACAATAAAATAAGACGTTAACAAAACCTTTTCAGGACTAGAAGCCCTCTTCCAGAAACTTATCCCAGCTTTCATATTCGGAGTACTACTCCTAGTGTGCGTGGTTGCAATGGCGTGTCGAAACATCGTGCGGTACTTCTCTGGCTACGAGCCAGATCAGGAGGAAATGCTGGATGGGCTGGACGGGCTGGACGGCGAGGACAATCAGAACAATATTAGTAGCTACAAGCTGAGTGAAAATTTAGAGGACACTATCAGCCCACAGAACGCCAAACAACTGGTTGTAGATAGCAAAATGACTGACGTCATCTACACGTGAAGGGAGGGTTGAATACTCCCTGAGAGTCTTATTGTAAATGAGAGAGAAAGAGAGAGTTGTCGTGGTCACATGCACGCGGGCCCCAGGAAATTTGGCAGATTGAGTTGCAGCTAGGAATGAGAGGATGGTAGTGTTACCATAGTTACACTGCCATATAAGGTCATGTCACTGTAGTGACAGGAAAATAATGAGAACCACATTGTTAAACTTTAGGATCTCCAAAACTTTAATGTTTGCCATTATCTACGAGCTCATATTTGTTCCACAAGGAAATGTTGTTTGAGTGATGTTTTCTCTTTTTTTTCTCGGGCTGGATCAACATTCGACAAGCCAGGGAAATTTTGTACGATGGCTAGGGAAATTAAAATTCTTATATTTTAACAGACTTTTTAATATGATTCATTATATGAAAGACGGTACTAACGAACTTGAAGCGGTGTTTTTAACCGACTTACTTAACATAATAGCAAGTCATTTGAAAGTATAAATTTTATACATTTATAATAGAACCCAAATATGGTTGTATAATTTCTCCATGATGACAAATTAATTGCGGGTATACATCTACCCCGACAAATTAAATTTGGCCAACTTGATATTAAAAACAGGATCAGTTGATGTCAAAACTTTTTATAGCAGACCAAGTAAGCTACATATTACATCCCTTCTACTAGTTTTACGATTGAGAGAGGGATGTAAAAGTAATCTCCGTCACATGTGAACAAGATATGTATCTTGTTGGTGATACAGCTACCAGCTCCTCGCTCTTAGTACTGAGTCTGATATATTATGTAGGTAAATAACCTTAAATAATAAAGTTAGTAATGTGACAAGATATGTAAAACAACACATACCTGCGTCAGGATATTTATTTAATTCTTGCTGTAGTTCTGACGATGGGAATGGACACAGTTCCTGAAGAAGACATGTTTTAAATTTTTGGTAATAGTAAAAGTAAAAACATGCATATTATCAGTTTATTGGTAGAAAGACGCGAGTACAATATGGCTGCATCGAAAAAATTTCAGGGCCCCTTCAATTGCACCTCATTCATGGCATTCTTGAATAGTATTTTGTGGCAAGCGTCGCTATTAATTAACTCTTTCTAGTTGAATTTCAAACAAAATATTAATTCAGACAGTGCCTAAAAAGAAGTGCTATGAGATGATAAGTACTCTAATAGAGAAGGCAGCTGTTCATTTTTATGGGATGATGACCAATGCTAGGTTACATTATATATACATAACTTAGTGCTTCTGACTCCACAAGCGAGGTGAAAAAGGTTTTCAGATGTTCATTTACAAAAATCAAATATGGGGAGCAAGATCTCAGCAGAAAAGCTTTAGGAGTCGTTCACATAATATTACATAATCACTGTACTGAGGGGAGGGAGGGAGTTTCTAAATGATTACGCTAGGGAAATTTGTTCAACTCATACCTCGGTTGTATCTTAAAATCAAGTTACACGAAACACATTCAATTTACGGCACTGTCCGCGAATAAACGGACATTATCATCCCGTCACCCGTGGCCCATACATTTTCCCTATAATACATGAACATGTTGAACGAGTGCAATGTTTGTCGTCAGTCTTGAATCATTAATATTATTATATGTAACAGTAGCTAGAGAAGATAATATTAGGATCGAAACAGTTTCAGCTGAGTGACACGTAAAAGGCGCGCATTCATCCAATGCAATGATATGATATGATTTTATTTATTATATTATATTATATTAAATAACGCGCGTACGTCACGTGCATGCTAAATTGCGCGAAGTTTCCAAAATTATGTTATCAGCGCGTTCCAGTATTAGGATAAAGAAGACCCTTTAGCAGAACAACCAAATGGTTCAGGCAGTGAGCCCGAACAGATGTGTTCTAACTTCTAATATACGAACAGGTTTCGCGGCAACCCACTATTTTCGGAGAAATTACTAACAGCAAGGATCATTGTATTACCTCTACTCGTATAATGGCAGTGCTTTTATCTTTCAGTTCATTACGTTTGTTTCGAAGTGTATAGTAGTGTTTACCAGAGCATATCAAAACACGTTTCACGCTGAAGATAACAAGGGTCATCAAGTTACAAATTGACATCCCAACAACATTGTTGAACAACAAATAAAGAGTTAAACAGAGAAGGTAACTTCTTAAAATGCATGTTCTACGCACATGCAAATGTGGTAATTGGGACTATCGGACATTTTAATCAAAAATTGTTCAAAATATTACTTACTCGTTGTTATGGACGGCTGCGTCTCCGATAACTCTCTGGAATGTGGACCCCGGACCGAACTCTGCTATTTGAGATACTGCATCTGGTGATCTGAATTAGTTTATATCTCTCATTCACTTCCAGTTAAATAAAGAAATAAAATAGAATCCAGTAAACCTTTATAAATTTAGCGTAACACGCATGCAACCATTTCATAAGTGTGTTACAAGCGTTAACTGTACCTGAGTAACGCTTTGGGTGACATCAACACGAGAGGTTTTCTGAAAGGGCGCACCATCTGGCGGCGCAGCAGGTGGAAATACTGCGCAGGGGTTGTGCAGTTTGCTACTTGCACGTTCACATCATCTGTGTCTGCAGTGCATTCCTGAATGGGAGTTTTAGCAACCAAATGGTAAGATTTGCTATTTTTCACTGAAATGGTATTTGGGATATTCTTTATCGAAATTTAACATGTTCCAGTTCCTCTAATATAAACAAGTCAAAGGTTCGCTACAAGGCATAAATATCAGAATCATTACATAACATATGCCTGAGAAAAGATACAAAGGAATGATATTAATGAGGAATTATTTTTAAATAGCACAATATGCTCGGCAGGTGCCGCTGATTCAGAACTAAAGTATGTGACCAGCTAGACTACTATATACCTGACTAATAAGCTATATATGTGACTATATACGTAACTACTATATAAGTGACTAATAAGCTATAAATGTGACTATATATGTGACTACTATAATAATAGACGTGACTAAAAATGACCCGCCTTAAATTATCGTGACTATTTGCAAATAAGTCAGTAAAGTTAATTAGTTATGTTGCATTTGGACACAAAGGGAAACACACAATATGAGGCTTGAATCCTTCGTAAATAAACTACATCTTTAGAGCCTCAAATTATTTGTTATTATATATAGTAGGGTTGAAAGTATTAAAACTTATGTATTCTTATACAATAACTTTGACGCAAAGTTGCCGGGTCGTAAATACTGTGTTTCGTTTCGTTTTGAGTTATCGAAATTATGCAAGCTTAAGGTCTCAGTGTGAGTTGAATCAGTGGCTTTAAGAGATCATCAGCTTGGAACAATCATTCAGGATTAAAAGTTTAAGAATCACCTGACATGAATTATTGAATGCAACATAGAAAATACAGTACCTGAAATCATAAAGCGAACAAGGTTATAAATTAGGAAGCCAATCTATCAACACTTCAAGAAGATAATGAAAAAGTGGTAAATTCGTAATTTGTATCTAGAACGGTGAGCCCCTGAGCTGAAATTAGTGTTTGTTGTCAGTATGTTAGATGATATTATCTTCTAGTTTCTTCAACTAAAAAAGGCAGTGGTCGCTTAACTTGGTAAAACATGTGACATCTGGGGAAGATAGATCAGACTGATTTAGAGGGCAATAAAACAATAAAATTGCAATAAAACCTTTCGCGAATATAATTTAATGCACGTAAAAACAGGAGTTGTAAATACCCTAAAAACCCTAAAAGATTTGCCCACCTTGCTATCTGAGAGCTGGAGCCACCTCTCAAGTCTTGCGGAGGTGTGGTCAGGTCCGTTACCATCGTACCCGTGAGGAAGTAGGGACACCAGCCCTGATTGCAGGACCCACTTAGCTTCTCCACTCACTACAAACTGATCAAATATCACCTGAGATACACCACAGATCAGCACGCAGGTAACCTTTTTTATAATTCAGATTTCAGAGTTATAATTCAATTTTTTACTTTTTAAAAATTATATTATACTATTGCCTCTTTGTTTCAATTCAACCAGCCAAGGCTGAATTAATAGTAGATATGTTACTCAAAAGGCTAGTAAAAAAATAAAAAATAGCTCACCTGGGCAGGGTTGAAGAAGTCTCCGAACTGAGCCTCCCAGAGTACGAGAGAGTTAGGGTCCTCCAGACTGTACCCGTACTCAAACCCTACAACACCTTCCTCGGATAACAAACTGTCTATCGCTTCTAACTGTGGGGAGATTATGTTAATTATGGGTACTGACTTTTGTAGTGTTGAAACTTAGAATAAATAGGTACATATTTAAATTCTTTTACATTTTCAATTAAAAACGAATAGGAGGACGGTCGGTGAGATCTTCTCAATCATCAAAGTGGGTCCTTTTGCTTGTATTTCGAACATATTATCTGAGAAATGATATTTTCGAGGAAGATAATCGCTCAATTATTGGCTTGACACTTTCACCTTCACATTAACTCTCCTTTTCTCTTTAAGTACTGGGGTGAGTGGCCAAAGTATTCAGTGGACTCTTTCTAACGTAATATTATATAATCACAGATTCAGACAAAGTAGAAGAATGTACCAGTCTCCAGACGAGATGAACTGATGAATAGTAAGCGCCTTGCTGTCAACTCCAGACAACGTACTCGCATGACTGATGACGGTAGCTTACTTTTACTTTCACTTACACTTACATTGAAATCATCCATGGACCATGTATAATGCTAACTCTCGCATTATTGTATTTGAAGTATTTTCCAACAAGAAGAACATCAGCAAAGAACCCGCTAATAACTAATTTGAAGCTGATAAAGTTCCTTTCCTTAACAATTATCACTTTTCCAGATAATGAACACAGCGAGAGTCGAGACTAACAGAAGTTCTACCTGTCTTACCCGAGAAGAGAAAACCTACAAAACTGGAGACTTTACAGCTTGCTATACAGTATCTCAGACATCTCACCATGGTCCTGGAACATTGCAGATATAAGCACACTGTTCACAGACTACTTTGGGAAACCATTATTGTTTCTTTTTGTCCGTTAATAATAGAAATCTTTCCAGATGAACATATAATTCAGAAAAGGACTTATAATTATCTAGATTACTTTTTCTTTCTATTTTTGTGCGATCGCTCCCATGTTGTAAGATTGTTCATGCTCATATTAGTTAAAGGTTTGAATAATATTTAAATATGTTTCTATGACCAGGATCTTACTTACACAAGATAATCGATTTAGAGATGTAAAAATAGTCGCACTAACAACATTTTGTTTCGTTGCTGAGTAAATCATAATATTTTGTGAAATGTGCATAATACGTTTTAAATCTGTTTGTGATATTTCTGTGTCACAAAAATAATTGTCCGACCAAGTTCCAAACTGAAACCCTTATTAAGGTAAAACTTTATTAAATAATATACAGAAACTCAGTTCTTAATTGCAAACTACCACACACCCTTGGAATCTGTGGATCTAAGGTACAGTAGGAAATAACCACGTTCCCTAGAATCCCCATGCAGTCGCTTCTATGATACCATGGAACTGAGGTAGGACGCAAATATCATGAACTTGAAGTCTTACACACGCGTTTAAAAGTTTAAAGGTTAAATGTGCATTTGTATAAATTGGATTCTTATATAATATTATATATTTTTTACTGAAACTTTAATAATCCCTTGTATGCAAGACCGGGTAATTGGTAACATATTCTGGTCTCACCTTTTATCATAATTTTAATTAAAGGCTATGTCTAGACTTCTAGAGGTGCCTATAATCTAGAACATGGACGTTTATTATCATATATATAACTCTTAAGACTTAAAGAGGGCGTCAGAGCGTTGTAAAACTGTGCTAGGTGTGGGGTGTTGCAATACACACGATTCCTCGACCCACCAGGACATGGAGAACAATGATCATTAAACTATCCAAGAAATAATTACTCAGCTTAGCCAGTCCGTCCTTTGTTAGTTCAGTTAAGAGGGCAGGGCTCTACGAATGATCCATAAGGAAACGATTAGCCGGGATTCGGTGCTCTCTGGGCACACTATTTCATATTTATTTTTTGCGACATTGGTTTTGCGGCACTGGTTTAGTTTATCTTAAACTCGATCAATACGTCATAGATTTATAGATTCTAGTACGAGCTAAGGCAGTTTTAGCGCGACATGATGCTGAAACTCATACTGTTCGTTATTATGATGGTGTGGACTGTCTTTGGTGAATCAGATGGTGAACTTACAAAAGGTATGTCTATTAAGTCAAGGTTTTCAGCAATTAGCAGTCAACAGAGCAAAATTTTGGAAATGAGAAGTGACGAAGTGTCCGAAATGTGTGAAATTACGAATTATAATAAAATTTCAGTTCGGAAGGTAAAGATGGCAATTTCAGATTGCTAGTCCGTCCGTGATGTATCAGTTAAGAGGGCAGGGCTGGGCTCGAACTGATCACATAAGGAAACGATTACACTGATCTGGGACTCTAAAGGGCACACTATTTCCAATTACATGCGACACTAGTTTTGCTGCAAGTTAGATTATTTAAACTGTTCAATATATATGATTTTAATTTGTAAGGTAAGCAGTTTCCTAGCGCGACATGATCTAAACTTCATAACTGTTCATATTTTGATGGTTGGAACAGTGAATCAATGGTCTACAAAAGGTATCTAATTAAGTTCAGGTTTTCAGTAAACTAGTACAGAGTTATTCGAAAACAGTTGACACAAGGGAAATAAATTCTTAAATGCAGATAACTCTACAAGAGTACAAGGAAAATTGATGTTTAGCAGCAGCACATGCAGTTGATAAGGACCTCTCAACAGTAGAAGCAACTGACACTTATAACCGAGCAGGCTGGTTAAAACTAGAGTTTGATAGAACCTACTTTATCCACAAGGTCCTTATCTACCGTGTGTTTTACAACAACTGGTACAATCCTAGTGATTATTGTGCTAAAAACGAAGCTAATTTCAAGATATGCGTAGATCATCATAACAACGTAGATGTGTCAGTGTACCAGGGAGAGGTAAAACAGAAGTCTTGTGGAACTCTCCAACTGACATACGGACTAGAGCAGGCAGACCAGATCTACACACTGATCTGTAACACTGAAGGAGACACTTTGAAACTCAGCAAGAGTACGGGTCACATAGCTGTGACTGAAGTAGAAATTATTGGCAAAGGTACTGTCTCAATTAAATTTTGATAAGGTAGGCAGTTAAACCTAACATAGCAACATTAAAACCTTTCTCGGCAACCATGAAAAATCATAATATGACATGGTTGAACATAATCAATGTCTGACAAAGTATCTAATACGACTGTTTCATCTCAGTTAAAAAACTTGAAGTAGCAGAGGTAACTCCAACAACAGTTACACAAAGAAAAACTTACCAGAACAACGAGGAAAGTTTTGCAGCAGCACATGCAGTTGATAAGGACCTCTCAACAGTAACATCAACTGAAACTGATAACGGAGCAGTGTGGTTAAAACTAGAGTTTGAGCGAACCTACGTTATCCAAAAGGCCCTTATCTACTACGTGTTCTACAACAACTGGTACAATCCTAGTGATTGGTGTGCAAGGAATGAAGATAACTTCAGAGAATGTGTAAATGCTCATAACAACGTCTGATGTGTCAGTGTACCAGGGAGAGGTAAAACAGAAGTCTTGTGGAACACTCCAACTAACATATGGACTAGAACAGGCAGACCAGATCTACACACTGCTCTGTAACACTGAAGGAGACACTTTGAAACTAAGCAGGAGTACGGGTCACATAGCTGTAGCTGAAGTTGTAGTAAAAGGAAAATTGGGTAAGAGCTATAACAAGAACAAAAAATTATTCGATTCGATTGGTATGGAACTCTCCTGAAACACAATATTTTGGAAACTTCAAAGCAAATAGAAATCCCGCCAACTTATAATATTAATATCATATGGTAATCATAACGGAATGAACTTTAGCTTCAGAGTGCAACAGCTTTGATAGTTCAGTATTTTCTGGAGTAGCAGACTTAACACCAGAGTTACCAGTACCAGTAGGAACTGTCCTTACAGTGAGATGTGAGAAACCTAACAGATTTGCAATCATGTCCGGGGATAAGACTCTGACTTGTGAACTAGGTTAGTTAATTAATCGTGTTCAAGAATAATAATATCTTCAATAGTAAATACAGTGTATGGACTTAGAACTATTCTAATTTTTAATTAGTATTGAAACAAAATATCTGTCATTCCTAGAAGCTTTAGAACTTTAGAATGATAGTGATCTTTTTCAGGGTCGGTGTTTTCCTATACATTCCTGCCAAAATGTGTGCTTATAGGTAAGTAACTAATATTTTCTGTTTATCAAAGACATTGAATGACACGAGGCGGTCAATCAGTGTCTTTCTATTAAGCAGAAAAGTGTGTTGAAGTTTAGAATATCTGAATTTCTCTACTTCACTACTTCCAGGTAAAATGATGTCATATATTAAAAAATGCTTAGAAATAAATTTTGAGGCTCAACCATTCCGTATTTACGTAAATTTTGAGTTATGGTTTTAAAAAGGTATCTCAATGATCTAAGAGCTGTTAATGACCAATGAGACATGGAGTTACCTGCTGTGTACTACTAGTCTATAGTCAGATTTTGGACTAAACGTAAACCATGTTGAAAAATCTCATCCCACTACAAAATTTTATTTTGAAGAGTTTGAATTCTAGCTAAAAATGACCCAGTGCAAATTATATTATACCCCGATTCAAAGCAGGTTATAAATTCTCGGAATTTACCTTAGTGGTCTGCTCGGTGTGAAGATGATTGAGGGAAGTGTAAGGATGCCCCGTATTCTGATCGTACATGGTCACGTGTCTGTTAGAGAACGTACCTCGTGACACATCCTCCCCTGATAAGCGAACATTGTAACCCTGCAAGAGTAGGGAGCCGAACGCTAGTGCTTCACCCATTGCCCAGTCTATTCCTTCACCTGGGGAAATATTCACTTACAAAGGAGATGTTTTAAACAAACTACGAGATGCAGCTACCCTAGAAATAAATTTTGTCCATCCTACGGATGTTTTGAAAATAAAAATCTGTTTTGAGGCAATGAAAAATTAGAACCACTCAGCTTGGGCGTCAACACTCCATTTCGTGCACTCTATAAAGTTGTGTGAACCCTCCATTTAACGGCTATTGGCTAACGCCCTCCATAAAGTTAAAAGCGGATATATAGGAATCACAAACCTGTCTCCATCATCTTGGCTCGCTTGTTGATATGAGCTCTATTAAGAGTGGGATGGTGCTGGAACCCCTCCGGCAGTTCCGTGCTCTTAACTCCAACACATCTCAGATCCTCCAAATTGTACCCTGTCTGCCATGTCGTGAGATCTGATCCTGCCTGGGTCATCTGATCCCAGTTGCCTGTGAAGCACATGCGCGGTGGTGTGTAATCAGCACATGTTTTGTGAGCTGAGCTCAGTTCTACGTTTTGTTCTGCTTCCACTGTTTTTACGAAATCCTGAGGATAAGTTGATAGACCTGATGCCAGATGCAATGAAATTATTTCGATGTTATGACGGGCGTAAATTATTAGGACAATCTAACACTAAATTGAGGCAAGTTTTGCCTATTTAATCATAAGTTCATTTGTTAAATCGTAATTTTATCGGAAAACGAATCACAATTTTCTGCTTCCTCCAACAACCCACTTAAAGGATAACTGAGAACTGTTAACAACAAACCTCAGGAACGACCTGATCCTTTACAAGCTCGCTTACAATCCTATCTTGAAGGGGTTTCAACTGGTCTATAATATTGTACATAAGAGGGTTTGTAAAGCGGGGCTCATCGTGTTGGTTGTGGCCGTGCAGCCGGTAACACTGCAGATCTGCGGGGATATAATTATACATTATACATTATACATTATACATGTATATTATGATCCTCTACTATCTTATTGATTATGATGATGCAAGTTTTGTTATCTTGTAAAGTTTAATTTTAGAGTTATTCCGTACAAATGTCAACCGAAGTACAAGATAACTGCTGGAGAAGTAAATACCTACGTATTAACGGTCAGTCTCTTTAATTCTCAGTTGATAATGATTTAATATTGAGAATGGGTACACTCCCAAAAGGAACCCACACACTCAAATCTAGAGAAGCAAGTTACAAGTAACAACGTACCTATGATAATATCTTCCTGATATCTAGTTCTCCACTCAATGGCCATGACAGCAGCCTGGTATATAGAGTGGATATCCAGACCGTCCACGGAGAGAACTGGCACATCGTACATTCTGCCTGGCATTATTCAGGGCTGTTATAATCATCCAATTACTTGTTTTTATTTAAATTGGAATCCTATAAGTTACAGTCCACATTGAAAATATTCCAGATTACGTCTGACTTTGGTTATCTTGCCTCTGAAAAACAGTACAGCTGGCCACTGTGGCATTAAAAGATTAAAATATTTAGTGGAGCAGTCAGCTGGGCTCTACTAACCTATGTCCCCTGCAGTAAAGGAACTACATTGAGCTCCTTGCTGAGCAGTGAAGCCTATCAGATTGTTCGTTATCAAGTGTACTGACCCGTTAGAGGAATACCCATCCAACTTAGACATCATTGCCTGAAATCAGAAATTATAGCAAAAATATGTTGGATAAGGCAATAGAATTAGAGAAAATACGTAGCAACCCTAGTTTCTCAATTTCTTATAAAATCTCAAAGGTTGTAGTATATTATAGAGATAGAGAAACAAGCTCTAACATTTTCCATAGAGACTCCTTGTCCGCTGAAAGCAGCATCACCATGGATAAGGAGAGCCAGGGGTGAATTCCTGCTATCTGTAATATTTTAGGGATCAGATCAAGTGATTGAAACATAAAACTATTGATCAGGAGATGGGAAATTATATATAATAATATGATTAAGCTTTATGATAAGTTGAAGCATTTGACAGATTGCTAATGCTAATCAGGATTCAGGGCGTCAAAGCGTCAAGCTTGAGGCTCGCTGGAGGGGGTTCGTAGTCCTCTATCATACCTATAACACCTTGTTTTATTTGTAAATTTTGTTAGAAATCTTATAGTCATCTTATCAATCTACAACTAAAAAAGATTGGAAACACTCATTATAATATTTATTTAATTACATCAATTTATTTAATTAACTGACCTCCGTAGTAGGGGGCTGACTTTTTGAGTCTTTGTTTAGCTCTAACTTTACCGAGTGCCACACTGTTAGCGACCTGTCACATGGTAATTTGTAATTAGATAATTAGATAGGACAAAAGAATAATTAAGCCTGTACGGGTTGGATATGTTAAGAATCATATTTCCCCGGTCCCTAGGGTCAGCCTAGCTGACTCTGGGCCAAAGGACGATTACCGACTGCCTAGATTTGACGCTGAGGCAGCCGAGAACTCTTATTGAGTCCGTAATGAATAATATCATGCTAGAGACTTATCATACTTGTAATGAGTTATGTGTACCTCGTACCGTGAGTTCCTTATGTTTATTTAGTAATCTCATATCACTGACCGAGGATATGTGGTGCGGATACCTTCAAGTTAGATTATAGTACAGAGCCTGGCACACTTTGGTTTGTTAATACAGTCGGCTGTTTTACTGTGCTGTTACATTATCGCACTTCAATTTTGGTGGAAACATTAAATAAACGGACAAGTCGTGAGTGGACATCCAGCGTAATGTTTGCCCAATGTTTTCAAGTATCGTGGATACTCATAGTGAGGAACCACCATAAAAATGTCCCAGCTTAGATCCAAGGCATGAATATTTGTCTCAATCTCGACGGATTGAGATGAAGATCTATAGGGCAATTCCACCGTGACGGACACCACGATTATGCCATTTTTTAAAGTTCAAACGAATGTTGTGCTCAGGATGTTGCTTCTTTATCAGCTTAAACTATTTATTAGTCCACATTTAACCTTTCTATAGGTTGTGTGAAAATTTCAGACCCCTACCATTATTACTTTCTGAGATAGCACCCCTGTGACGGACGCGACTTAAATATGACACTTTTTTTGGGTGTCTACTCAGAAGGTACCCAAATCTATCTCAAAACGTTATCTATTATCTCTAATTTGGACATGCAGTGATAGAAAAAGGTTTAGGGATTTCTGAGATACCATTTTTTTGGAGATTGCTCAGTTTTTGTTTGCGTGGCGCCATTTTCAAATTGTGACGGACGTGACTGTGACGGACACACGTTTTTTTTTCAATTTCTCCAAATCTTCTATTTGACACTTTTATCTTGTTCAGTGACCTTCATTCTATATTTATGCCAATTTTTAGGCCGCTAGTACTTCCACGAGGTCTGCAATAGCCAAAATCGTCCATTTTGGGCATACGCGAGGGTATCACTCTAGGGGCAGCAATTATTTCTCTACTTGAACAAATTTATAACTCTGGTAAAACATTCATCTCTGTTCAACACATCACACTGTTGAGACCATCTCCCAAAAGTTTCATTACTTTAGTGTTTAAAATGTGGAAGATATTGAATTTTTACTTCAAAAATATGCGAAAATAGGGTAAAGTCCATTTTTTGTGCCTTTTACCCCTGAAAAAGGTTAAGGCAAATAAAATGGCAAAACTCAGTAAATTTAATTATTGAATTGCATATGATGTTATTTGATAGTCTAGTCAACATAGTCAAACCTTATTTGACTTCAATTTGTCTTGGTTTTAGTCAAAATAATGGAAATATGGATAAAAATGGCTAAAAGTGAGCCGTACGCCCATATATGGGCATATACAAAATTATACATAACTCAGTCATTTTCTGTCCAATTTTCGATTTGACAACATCGTTTTGTTAAGAACGGTCTCAGCTTTAACAAAAATGCATTTAAAGTCTGTTAAAAGATTTTTTGGAGCATTTTCAAAAAAATGTGTCGGACGCGACAAGTTGGGACCCCCCTTCCAAAAATTTTTTCTTAAAAGATACAAGCCTGATAATTTCTACGGTACTCCCTTACCTTCAGAAGAGATAGGTTACAGTGGTTTTTTGAATATAAATAGCACTATGTGGCTCTGAAAAAAACTTTTTTGCTTAATTTTGTGACGGACGCGACACCATCTTTGTGGAAATTTTTTAGAAAAATTATTTGAGTAACGGTTTTGAAACTTTGCATGGCTCTCATTCTTATGCCTATGCTTAAGTGTATGGAATTTCATAGAGAAATATTCCTGCATACCCAAACTATGGCCCTTTGAAAATTTGAATGATTTTTTTCATTTCCGAGTAGTGTTCCTTTGAATGAGAAAAATCAAAAGTTAATGCAATATGAAACAAAAAACTTTTGTTGACCTGTAAGGTTAAGAGTCTAATGAACATATTTTAACCAAAATTAGGTGCCTATCTTAACATTTTTCATTTTCACCAAGTGGAACCTTACCGTGGAATTGCCCTATAGTTCAAATATTCAAATACTCAGTGAATAGATATCAGGGTCATAGGGGGGAAGCCAAGGGGCATTTTGGAGTACTTTGGGGTATTATGGGGGACTCTATTATGGGGGGTTTCCAAAATCCACTTATGCATTCCCCAATATACCCCAAAATTACTAAAATAACCCCTGTGCCTTGACTATGTATTTATACTGTTTACAGATACCATTCTATGGTGTTATATACTTATATAGGGAATAAGGCATAATTTCAAAGTCCTGAGACATTAGGTTATTGAATTATGTGGTCGCACCTATTTGCGCTCTCTCGATAAGCAATTACAGCATTTTATAAAAGAAACCTCGGCTTTCGAAGGAGCTAAATGCTCAACTATCGAGCATTGCTTAACTGAATCCATCATCAGATACTTTTCAGACGACACTCGTGTTTCGATTTCGATAACCTGTGAACAAGACGTATCTGTCTTACAAAACAACTTGAATAGTCTCATAAAATGGTCTGAACGAAACAATATGACACTACATAAAGACAAGTATTAGTATTATATGTGTCACAGACACAATCGACGCAGTGCTCTCGTCGAACTTCCTTTTGTTAGTGAACTGTACCAGTACTCAGTATTCAAAGACAAGTCACTCGCACCTTTGCTTTAGGCCAACTACGTCTCCAACGATCTATCTTGGCAACCCCACATTAAGACCATAGCAAACAAGGTTCGACAAAAAGTTGCCTGGGTTTTCAGTGTCTTTCAGACCAGATCAACAGTCATAATGCTCACGCTTTACAAGTCGATTGTTCGTAGTCTACTGGAATACTGTTGCCCGCTATGGCACCCCTCCAAGATCTTTGACATCCAGGAGCTTGAAAGCGAACAAAGCTTTGTTTGAGCGTGTATATCGCTCTGCTATGATACAATAGTTTTTAAGGTAAATGCAATCGATTAAATCAACCATGACCAGGACGCCAGATGGCCCAGATAGATGCATTAAAATGAGCGTTAAATATTCAGCGTGGATGTAAGAACCCTATAATACGAGTCATCAAATTGTTCAAAATTATCTAGTGTTCTAGGCTAATCCAAGAACTCGTGAGGCCAGGGAACAAAAGGTTTGAAGGCAAGGAAGATTCTTGACTGCTCTTTTTATGATTTATATCCTTTTAAGAGCCCCAGGGGATTAGCATAATAATGTCATAGCCTCGCCTACCCTAGCAGCGAGCTTACTCGCGTTGCATTATTGAAAACGCCAACTTGGAGCTGTTGCTTTTTCAAAAACTGGCTTTTCTAGATGGTGAAATTTGCAAGCTTTTGGTCTATTTGCAAGCTTTTGGTCTATTAACTCGACAGCCTGATACCTGAGGACGTTGAAACTAGGTTTTACCCCACTCAGTATGATAATTTGACTGCCCAATTTAAGCTCTTATAACTTCAATCAGAAACCGAGTTATTTTGATTTTAAGGGGGCATACACCAAAACTGCCAACCCAAATTACCTCATAGTAACCATCAGTTCAGTAACCATCTAGCGCACCCTTTCCATACCACAAAATTATTTTTTGAGGATTCCCTTTTTTGTAATCAAGCATTTCCTGGTCAAAGTGCATTTTTCGGAAAAGCTCAATTTTTTTTGTTGAGAGGCTATAAGTCAATCATTTCTTGTGATTCGAGGTGAAATAGGTTCACAAAATGTGTCCCTGTGCTGTTCTACATGCGTGTAAAATGTCATTATCGTATCTAAAAAGGCTGTGTTGTTATAACCTTTTTAAGTCTAATTAATAATCTAGGCAACTAAAACATGCACTGGACAATGGACTGAAAGTGGTTTGTGAAAACATAAACTGTTGCCCACAATGAATATTTAGAATAATTTAGGGTAATTTTGAGGTACTTTATTATGACGTATTGTAAATGACTTTCATTTTTGGAATGTTTCGAAAGAAGTTTTAACAAGAATTAAAGGTACCAGTTAGGGGGGGTTCCAAGGGGAACTTTGGGAAACTTTTTTTGGGGAACTTCAGGAAACCTGGGGGACTTTCCCAAAGTTCCCCAAAAAAATTATCAATGAAACAAATAATTTTGGGGAATTTTGGGGAACTTTTTTTTGGGGAACTTCAGAAAGTTCCCCTAAATTCCCCAAAGTTCCCCAAAAAAATTATCATGCCAAAAAAATTATCATGCTGCAAGTATCAACAAGTAAGTTAAGATCATACCTTATAATAACATACATGTTAACATTAATGGGTATTAATGTATATTAGAGAAATTTTGAATAATTTTGAATAATTTTGAATAATTTTGAATAATTTTGAATAATTTTGGGGAATTTTGGGGAACTTTTTTTTGGGGAACTTCAGAAATCTTGGGGGACTTTCCAAAAGTTCCCCAAAGTTCCCCTTGGAACCCCCCCCCCCCCCCCCCCCCCCAGTTATATATAATAAGGAAAAACACAATGATTATCTGTGGTTTCATCCTTATGTAGCAAAGAAACGTTTTATAAATCTTTACTCCACTTAACTGGGAAGTATGAATAAATTACATTTTTTAATGTTGTTTTTATTCATGATTAATATTTGATAAATTATTACTTTTAAATTTGATGGAGAAATAGTTATTTTTCCATGTAGTGCGATGATACTTTGTAGACATTAGTGATGATGTTATGTCAACATTTTTACTTTACTTTACTTTACTTTAAGGGGGCAGGGGGGGGGGGGGGTCTTCATGGAAATTTTCTCAAAATCGACTTTTTAGTTGTTTCTGATAGATGGGAGTGATATCTATCAGATGCTTTTAATCCGATAGAAAAATATTGCTCCTAGCAGAAATTATCGCCGGTAGAAGGTCAGCGCTTGTGTGTAATTGTATTGCGCGAGCGATTTTTGATCGCGTGCCCTGAAAATCGAGTCTAAAAATCTGTCTCCTACATTTCTTGAGCAATCACCCTCAAACTTTCAGGATATGTTCTAGGGATCGTTTAGAAGAGATTGTCCAGGCAAAATTTTGAGATAGGCCTTTAAACATTTTTTATTCGATTTTGAAAATGTTGGACTTGGTTTTTTGACGATTTTTCGAGGTCCAAGATTTTTAAAATCGAATAAAAAATGTTTAAAGGCCTATCTCAAAATTTTGCCAGGACAATCCCTTCTAAATGATCCTTAGAACATATCCTGAAAGTTTGAGGGTGATTGTTCAAAAAATGTAGGAGAAGATAGATTTTTAGACTCGATTTTCAGGGCACGCGATCAAAAATCGCTCGCGCAATACAATTACACACAAGCGCTGACCTTTTACCGGCGATAATTTCGGCTAGGAACAATATTTTTCTATCGGATTAAAAGCATTTGATAGATATCACTCTCCTCTGGTATCAGAAACAACTAAAAAGTCGATTTTGAGAAAATTTCCATGAAGACCCCCCCCCCTGCCCCCTTAACTGTTTTCGTTTGATATCGTGGCCCAAGTGTAGGTTAAAAAAGATTGTAGGATAGAATGTCCTCACCCGCTTATCTATAGATATAGCTGAAATCGACGATACATAATTCACATCCAAGAATATGTTAAAATATTTTGGACGATAAGACTGATATTATATAAAACCATTATCTCTCTAGTTTTACAGCTAACAAGAAAATGTTTCTTTTTGTTTTCTTGACATTGGTGCCGCCTTTGCAATGTGGTGAGTTAAGATTTTATGGTTACCGTATGCTTTCATTCATATCTTCATTGACAGAAATTAAAAATCTGTTTCTTCCCCACCTATCAATGCAAATGGTCTGGCTGAAGTTTTAATAAGACCCACATAGACTGCCCTATAAATCCAAAATGCGTTTAAGTTTAGCCAATTGGGCAATAATTGAAATTAAAGTCCGTTTTAACTTCAATTTGCAGGTTTGGTTCCAATTCCAATCAAGAGCGTCGTTATGACAACAGAAGATACCTTATACCCGGCAACCAACCTATTCGATGGAAAGTATGCAACTATTGGACACAGTGTTCAGAGAAACCACCCTAATGGATTTAACATCTCAATAGAATTCCCGTCAGCATATAGAATATCTCTGATACGAGTGATTAATAGGCAAAACTGTTGTCAAGAGAGAATTATCGGATTTAGCGTGTACATCGTGAATAAGATCGGATCAGAGGTGAACTGTGGCAGTTTCACTGAAGCGAAGTCAGAGTATGAGTTTAGGCGGGAGGGAGTTGGAGATAAGGTAGAGATAAGAAAGGAGGTGGATGTAAAGATGGTTAATCTGGGAGAGGTGGAGATCTACGGTGTTCTAGGTAAAAACATTATTTTTAATATATTATGTACATCTATAACTAGACTTTTTCAATATCATGCTTTTGCTTGAAATTTGAATAGAAATTGAGATACACAAAACAAATGCACATATTAACAAATTATGGATATGCAGTTTTTCAATGACAGGCCAGTGTAAAATTTCAGCTACGCGAATAACTAATAATTATTCATGGTTCCAATAAAAAATAACCACAATTTCAGCTGCACAGTGCGATAACCTCGATCCTAATTGGAACAAAGTAACACCGGAGCCAGCCCTCCCAGCCCCACACGGAATAAAGATTACCCTCAGCTGTCCTGCAGACTACACCAACAAGGGAGGTGACAAAGCCACTTGTCAGGACGGAACTGTTGTCCCAACTAATCAGCTTCCTGATTGTCGTGGTGAGTTGACTACTGAATATAATATGGTGCACACAAAAATATGTACATTTCTTGAATGAATCCTAGATAGAAGATGTAGATAAAATATGTCGATAAAAGAAACCAAAAAGTTCTACATTTTCAGCCAAGTGCACGATTGTCAACTCGAATCTAGATGTCATAGTAGCAGACTCTGAGTTACCAGCTGAAGATGAAACAGAAATATCCTACAGCTGCCCACGAAATCAAGCAAAGAAAGGAAATGATGTCAAAGCGGTCTGTCAAGACGGTACAATCTACTTTCCTGGTGGATATCCGGATTGCTCCAAAATAGGTAGGGTACATTTTCAGATTTACAACATTCAAATCTTAGGGACTTTAAAACTGTTTCTTCGAACCTTTTTAGGGAGAGGTTCAAGGCAGTTTTAAAAACCTCTACTAAAAGATATTATTATTAAAACCTTCGATAATATTTTTCTACCAGTTCATTCGATTTTCTGATTAACCAGTTTTGAATTGAATTCTTTTGCGATAACACGACGAATATGAAGCCAATATAGATTTTTAACGAGCTCGTAAAGTAGAAATTAACTAGTATCCTACCTGTATCCATCCAACTTCTTTCATATAATTAAAGAAGTGTATCCCCTTGGCTACAGCTGACGTAATAACATATAATATAAAACATATTATTATGTCCTACCGGTAGTGGAGGGCACCATTGGTTTTGGTAGGTTGCATATTTTTTTTAAGAAAAAAAAAGTCACTTAAATAGAAACGATCCCAGAACCGGTCTCCAATGATCCTGAAGCTACACAATTTCATAAAGGCTATACTACATAACTAGTATTATATCATGATACAGGGGTCGAAGGTCTATTTAAAATTAAAAGGATTCATGAAACATGATGTTTAGATAAGAAACACAGACCTTATAAAACAAGTAACAATTGAAGAAGAAAAGTGGTTACCTCGAGATGAGACGGGTTAGGTAGAAGAGACACGTGAACATTTCCTCCACTCGGCTGCTCCAGATCAGCAGACTGCCACAGGTGGGATAACACGTCCCCGATTGATCTCTGAGAGAGTTGGGGAGATATACGATCAGAGAAACCGGTGACTAACTAATTATGTTACTAAATTGAAATGATGATTTAAATACGTAAAGATCTAACACAACGTATTTCCAAAATAGGTTATCGATAAAGTGTTTCAAGTTAATTTAGGGCAGTTTAAATAAGAAAGTCTTAATGTGGGCTTTGAAAAATTCCAGGGATTGATAAATGTACCTAGCGTTTTAGTTTAACTTATACATTTTTGTACAAATATTTATGATTAAGTATGATGAATGTCTGTGTCATAATTATTTGAATTGATTACATTTTATTTAGCATATAAAAGAGCGTGACACGAGTGTAAAATGAGTGTTACATACTATCATAAAATTGCTTCCAGGAGGTGACCGGGACATGATTTCAGGCCTGACCGGGACCGGGAGCGGGATACAAAATGTGACTTGACCGGGACCGGGACCGGGACCGGGACCGGGATGAAAAATGAGACTTGACCGGGACCGGGACCAAGAATCCTGAATTAACCGGGACCGGGACCGGGACCAGGATCATAAATCAGCATTTGAAAATTTGACCGGGACCGGGACCGGGATAGCTCAAAATTGCCAATCCCGGTCACCTCCTGATTGCTTCCATTCTTGTTAGATGAGTGTAACATGTAAGATGAGTGTAAACCTCATCGGGTAAAAGCAAGATGATTTAACATTTCAGCGACTAATAATTATTGCTTGAATAGTTGAATGTGCCATATTGACCATTTGTACTGATTGCTATAGTTTGATAATAATACTACCTCGTCAGGATGAAACTCCCGGTCTCCCCCATACTTCTTAAGTAGTCTAAGATAAGGCAGTTGTAGTAGTTCTGTCAGAAGGCTTATTCGCCCTCTGTGTGCTATAGCGATAACAACATCTTCAACCTGTGACGTCATAACATGTTCAGATTAGGCGCGAAACCAAACCTTGTACATACTGTGTCTTTCACGATGTTGTTTTATAAAACTTATAAAAATTTGCATCTTCTTAGAATAGCAACAATAATATTGGTTAAAATTTTGAGATACTGGTTGTATCAACATCAGGATCAGCCCAGAAATTAAAGAAATCGCAAATTGATACGAGTCACGGAGTAATGACCCATAACAAGTGAGAGGGTTGTTATAAACAACCCTCTCACTTGGGTCATGTGGTGTGACGTCATAACACGTGGGTCGTGGTGTGACGTCACAACACCTACCTTGTTCCTAGGACAGAGGTTGAAGAGAAGTTCACAAAAAGCGACAGTACCCTCAGCACCCTGCCCTCCGTACTGCTTCAAGTTACTGTACTTGTTAGCGAGGAAGTTATCCAGGTTCTCACATCTTATTAGCGTCTGTAATTATGTAGCAATTATTACTCTAATTAGCTCATTAAATTAGATAGAGACAATTAACTAGTTAACTAACTAATTGATTGAGAGAATTCAGAAAAAGGGTGCTTTTAGTAGATATGATGATGAAATATGCGGGCATTGTTAATTTGAAGATGACAAAGCTACCGCGCTAGATGAGTTGCACACTATTCTAATTTCGTAGCTATTGCTTGCCAAGATGCACGTTCATTTGAACTAAAGTTTAACAATAACTTTATAACTTCGTGACCCGCCATCAACTGTAGTATACAACAGTAGATTTAAACATATTTTTTAATCCGATACTTTCTATCTGATGATAACTCTGTAGTCAGTAATGAGCTAACTTTTATTCGTAGTTGAGGTTGTGGCCCAAGTTAACAGTACAAGTTCCGCCGTTTTCTGACAAATCTGCTTTAAGACGATTATTGAAATTAAGAGTTTATTAACCCAAATTTCTTTATTGGGTCAAGAACTATCCTTGAAAACCACTAGAAACCATTAGAACTAATCCTCCAGAACTCCCCTTAATTAACCGTATAAACTGCAAAAATTTGCCAAAAATGTGTCAAAAGTGCTTAAAAACCTCAGATTTTTGAGTGGTCTTTAAGCGGTTTTGTCAGAAAACTACAAAGTTAACGCTACAAATGTTTCCTTATAACCAGTTCAAATATCCTGCAAATATCCTGCTGTAATATAGTCTATTAGATTATATTGTCGGTATCGATACTCAGTACACTCAGTGAGTGTGCCGTTTCAAATTGAGATACATATATAGATTTAAAGTAGATCATCCTCAATCTTAATATCCGGATCATTACATCTAATAACGATCACACCACACATAATATGTGTGGTTTGTAACGGCGTTCTTATATTAAAGCTCTCACTTGACTTTGTTGCAGCAACTTCAGGAGTTATTTCACCCTATTTCATCAACTTGATTGTATTTCACAGTGTGCTGTCGACTCTAGTTTAGATTAAACTTGTTTCATGTATATTTAATATTTTATATACACAACTCACAACTGGTGATGAAAGGGTGAAGACTATATTATATACTTTATAAAGTATATAATATAGTCTATATATAGACTATATTATATACTTTATAAAGTATATAATATAGTCTTCATAAAGTATATAATATAGTCTTTCTGATTCAGGATGTTACTGAAGATAGTAATGAAAATGTTTTAACGCCTCAGTACTGTGTTTTACTACAGCTCAACCTGCTCAGTCTGACTATTTGGGAATTTAAACTCTTGATAGTCTTCACCCTTTCATCACCAGTTGTGAGTTTCGTGACTCTGTTGCACGTTTTGAATATTCTGTCTTAGTAAGCTCTCGGTCAAAGTTCGGTTTTGGAGATAACTTTGCAGTTTTGTATTTTAGTTTTGTACTTTAATTTTGTATTTTATTTGAGGATATACGTTATTATATTCCGTTTTTATTGTCAACTAAACTGAATAATTTCATAACTCAATAATAAATGACCAGTAAATGACCAGTAAATGACCAGTAAATGACCAGTAAATGACCAGTAAATGACCAGTAAATGACCAGTAAATGACCAGTTAATGACCAGTAAATGACCAGTAAATGACCATGGCTTCCCACAACTACTCCAACGGCACACTATTTGGGATAAGATCGGATGGGGAACGCTACGCATACGCAGGATGGTACTTACTAGTGATCATAGCGTCTCTACTAGGAGACACCACAATACTGATAAGTACCATCAAGTACAACGCAATAAATCTGAACAAGATTACAGTAACATTTATACAGCACATTGCTGTAGCCGACTTGGGATTTGCTACCACTTATTTGTCGTTCATGTTTGTTTCAACCATTGCAAGAGGAAAGGTCTACGGAGAGGTGGTGTGTATTGGTATACCTTATTGTGGGTATTTCTTCGCAACATCAGGTGCTCTCTCAATAAGTGGAATGACTTTAAGTAAGCTCATGCGGTTGAAATTTCCTCTTAAATCACGTACAAGATGGTTTGGTGAACATGTCTTTGCTCAAAAGATCTGTGCTGGTATTTGGTTAGCAGCTCTTTACTACCCAGTGGCATTGTTTATCGTGGATAAAAATGACGTTTATTTTGACTATCGGTTGTACAACTGCATGTATGGTTATACGTCCCCCGAATGGAAGTGGTTGCAACCTATCATTTCAATCATCATACCAGTTTTACCAAACCTGGTCATCGTATCTACAACTATTCTTATGCTTGTAGAGGCAAGAAAAGCGGTTAGATTGTCCCATAGGAATCTTCGCTGGCAAGGTATTTTAACTGCCATGCTTACTGCCATTGTTTTCACTTTGGCATTTCTTCCATATGCCATATACTTTATCTCTGAACAATTTGTGGCGAAGAATCCATCTTCGCCAGTCAAAGACCTTTTCTACTCTCAGTTTTACCGGGTATCAATAGCCTGTACGGCCATAAACACCATGTCAAATATTTTTATATACAGTTTAACAGTTAAAAGCTTCAGAAGTTTCCTCTGCGCCAGGTTTTATCTAGTGGTCTCCTATTTCTCAACTACCACTTCACAGACTAGGAGACCAACTCAGAACATCGCTGACATTCCTTGTGAAGACATTCCCCCGGCAGTAATATTTCCCATCGGAGAAATCAATGCAGCGGAAGTTTATGGCCATGCTGAGGAATAACTAGTAGGGCAAAACCTGATTGAGCCTAATTTTAAATATCCAACAATGATGTAACGCCATTCACTGAAGTAATTTCTGTTTGATTTGGTCGATGATATATTATATATATATTTCAGGAATTTGCTAATTTAATATAATTATTGATTATTATAACTGATAGTAAAATATACATGATATGATAAAACGTTCTGTATAATTGTACATTATAAATTTCATTACATTATGAAAGCGTCATTTATTTTACATCTTACTGAAAGTGAGAAGCCTCCGTAAATTAGAAGATTTTCACTAATTTATTAATATTAAAAAAACCTGGGTAACTCTAACAAGCTCCTCCTCGCTCAAAACTGGCCTATTCTCTATAAGATCTGATATAAAGTTCTGTTTGTCCGTATCTGGAATGTGCATGAACTGTACACCTATTCCTCCGCAGTATAAACCGTCTAGAACCTTCCTCAACTTGCTGAAACGTTAATTAAATGGTAGTTTGTGCGAAATAATTTAAGATTAAAATATGCCATGTTACAGTAGCAGTTGTTTAAGAATCCATGTAACATCTTTGAATCCATTTGCTAGTATGCTGAAATACTGTTTACCAGCTTCAAAAGTTCAAATATACGCGGCACATACTGAAAATAAGAATCGTTGTATCGATCGGAATGGGGATTGGAAAACATGGGAAACCCAAGGCGCTAGCATCAATTTTTAAACACAACCATTGAAACGAGTTAGAAAGCTAAACGATAAGTATTGAGTGAGAGAGAGAGTCACGTGATCTATAACAACTACCTGTCATCACTGTTAGATAGTATCTCTGTGAGAGGCGATGTCTGGTCGCTGTGTCCGAAGGGGGACGTGGCTGCGTGTCTGTAACCCCAACTTCGGTACCCTTTTATCAGTTCTTCTGCTTCCTACGAGAGGAGATGATAATAACAATAGTTACAAGAGTTACAAGAGTTACAAGAATTACAAGAGTTACAAGAGTTACAAGAGTTACAAGAGTTAAAAGAGTTAAAAGAGTTAAAAGAGTTAAAAGAGTTACAAGAGTTACAAGAATTACAAGAGTTACAAGAGTTACAAGAGTTACAAGAGTTACAAGAGTTACAAGAGTTACAAGAATTACAAGAGTTACAAGAGTTACAAGAGTTACAAAGTTACAGGAGTTACAAGAGTTACAAGAGTTAAAAGAGTTAAAAGAGTTACAAAGTTACAAGAGTTACAAGAGTTACAAGAGTTACAAGAGTTACAAAGTTACAAGAGTTACAAGGGTTGCAAGAGTTACAAGAGTTACAAGGGTTACAAGAGTTACAAGAGTTACAAGAGTTAGTTCAAATTATCCCAGTAGCTACAAGATTGAAGGTACCCACTCTACCCAGAACATTAAACCACACCCTCTCCTTCAATAAAACATCAGGTATATCACAAACCTTGTCTTGGAGATGCTCGTTAAGTAGTTTCTGAGGAGCTGAGTCTGACTGATAACCTCTTTTACCCTTCTCAGCAGGTGTCTGGGTCCGGTTAGTGGACACACAGCGTGTCAGGGTCAGGGCTATCCTCTCCCGGTGGTACAGGTGTCTTAGCATGGCCTTATATTGTGGGTACTATCATACAGACTGGAGGTGTGATGTTTAGTGGAAATTTGGTATCTTTATCTAGAGTTGAGATAAGGATTTCGCATTTTTCATCAAAATCATCAGCTTTCTTGTTAATACTTTAGTAAAATAACTCGTTTTAGTAGCTTGTCGGTAATAGTGATAAATAAATTATGAACTTCAAAGTACATTAATTTATCTCGTCACAAAATAAAACAATAGCTTAATTCCAAAAAACATTGCCAAAATCAGCCAAAATGGGGCAAGTTCATCCTATCATTAGTTGAGTAGCGAGTCACGGGTCACCCAAGAAATAAGTTACAGGATTAAACAAACACTGTTCTCCCCCAATCCAAGAATTCTAGTCCCGTCACTGTAGAAGAGAATCTTTGAGATCTACGTTGATAACAATTCAATGTCAACAGAATTTCGCTGATCATTTCTTTTTGCCGCCAGCTTTCTTTTGTTTATGTCCTACCCCAAGCCCACGGGCATTAACACTAGAAACGTCTCTAATATAAGCCAATTTGTCGTCCTTTTTCAAGTCAGCGATGGAGGTTTGGTATCCTAATACAAATGGTTTCTCTCCTGCTCGATCCGAATACTCGTTAATCCATCTTTTCGTTATCTGAAGAGAAAAGGAATGTATTTTAAATCAACTTTTATTAGATCAATTCATTACTACTGGGAATTTTATACACAAAAAGGTATATTATTGAGTTTTACGCTAATTTTAGATAGACATAAAAGTTCCACCATAGATAAAAAACGCTACTATTAGAAACAACGTTTTGTAATTAATATAGAAAAGCAGACACTTTTGTTTAAACTTACATTTTTCCAGCCCAGTTGACGGTTGTTATGACAGTGATGGTAATCATCCAAAGGTGTCTCCCCCTCCAGTCTCTTTTTGTTGAAGGAGAAGTCCGGAATTACTGAATTATGTTTGTCCAGACCCACTTCTTGTCTTTCTAAATCTTTCTGAGGGTGGCAGTTGTTATAAAATTATGATTTTATATAATCTTACATCATTAGTTAATATTTTGAACGAATAAATCAACATAGACTGCTAAATTCGGATAATCGATGAGATTCTTTGAAGATTTTAAAAATATCAAATGATCCTATAATCATGTCAGTGGTACGATCAATATCGATTATAATTATAATTACAATTTTCATTAATTGAAATTTTTCGCTTCAAATAGAGAAATAGGCCATGAAAACTTATCAATCAAACAGTACGAACCGCCGGTTTGAGATCTTCCCAAGTTCCCAGCCCCTTTGCCTTCCTAATTCCATGTATGATATCCTTGAAGTTCATGTAACCGTCCCCTGCTATCCCTACATTCCTCATTTCCCTGGTAAGATCAGTCATCTTCTCTGTGGGCACATTCCAGTTGCATTCCTGGACAGGGAAAACAACTTGTCAGAATAGTTCGGAACTTTTGCAAAATATTTAAATATTTAAATATAGTGATTTCTTGCACATTTGTCATGAGTTTAATCTCTAACTAACAGATTTGTCATACAGCAATGTTTATGGAAACTAGAAGACGATTCGTAAAATTATGCATTGGTAGGTGGCATATGTACGACAAACAATTATATGTTTTAATGAAACCTGAGGTGACATTTGTCGAGGTCCCTTCAGATAACCCTGCATCAGTTCATGGTCTTTCTTGGAGATAGGTTCCCGGATAACATTCCCCATTACCCTTGCAGCACGCTGTGCCACCTCCTTCTTAAACATCCTTAATTTAAATTATGATTAGTGAATCTTAGTGAACAATCCATTGATAAACCTATTCGTGGAATAATTTGCGTTGGATCTTAGTAACGTTGGATCTGAGTAAGTAATTCTCCGTCCGGTGCTGAGTAAAATTTATGATAAAATTAAACTGTGATTGTTCATGCTGAGCTAAATTTTCACGTTATTGAGCCTGATTTTGATCATGAATAAATGAACGTATCGTAAAATGAGATAGCAAAGGGCTGTTAAAATAAAAGGTTTCTCTTTTGGGTAAATTGACTGAAAATTTTACTGTAACTTCAATGGAAATTTATAAAGTTATAACTTTGAATATTTTAATTGTTTCATGATAAATAGTTAAATACAATTCAAAACAAACATTGCATCACAGATATTTGGGCATTAATTCGTCCTGCATTGTGTCTGTTTTCATAAATTTAGTACAATAAATATAAGATTAAAAAGTGCACGATATAAACCAAGTTGGTGAAAGAGGTCGCACAAATGAAGGCTTCCTGTCACATGCTTACAATACTTGGTTACATTACTTGGTATTATGTCACATACCTACTTTCTCAATAAACTACTAATGAAGAAGAACTTCGCATGAAAATAAGGACACAGCTGGGCTGTTGCTACCACTGAAATCCTTTCATCTCAATGTTCTTAATGCTGGATCGTTCTTGGTTAAATTTCTCCATCGATCCTTCAATTGAACATTTGATTTGTGGCCAAGTTTCAACCGTCCATCAGCCTTTATCAAGGCCCATTCTCCCCGTCCATACTTCTTGACCCCTTCTACTAAATCTTTTGATTCTTGAGCAGTCCACTTTACACGTTTAGTACTGGATCCAGACACTGAGAGCATGTCGCTAGCACTGTCCTCCCACAGTATCCCTTCTGGTTTCATCATCTCTGACTCTTTGGGTGGAGATCTAGATCTTATCATATCTCTGAGTGTGGTCCTCTTTTTCATTGACTTTATTGGAGTCTTAGCAGCACGTTTTTTGGGACTAACATTTTCTGTATCTGTAATTTCTACACTATCGTTGACACTTTGACAGCTGCTCATAAATGTATCGTTATTTTTTTGCAAAAAATCGTCATTCAGGACACCTGATTCTTGAAAGTGTTTTGGTCTGCCCAGTATCCCATGAAAATAATACAAACCGCCACAAAACACTCGAACAAAGTTGTTGAAGATGTCATTATTGAACTTTTTGAAGCTACCCTGGCCAAGAATATCGAAGATTTTAGCAAATTCTTCTTTATTTGACGGTTCTTCCACGACTACCGCGTATTTTTCTCTAGCCAAATCACATAATTCCAAGACCTTCTGCAACAATTCAAAGTACTTACTGTACTCTTTATCAGCCAACGACAAAATCGTTTCCTCGGCAGCAGGGTCTATTTTGTGACCAAGTTGGAAACGTCTAAATAAGCCATATCTAACAAACAACCTTTCTGACTGCTTCAAATCTTCTACATCAGCTCTCTCCGGACCTTCAAGTTCTTCGAATATTTCAGACAATTCTTCAAAAACCCCTATTCGAAAGTTTTCTTCGACAATTTCTTCATCAGAAGCCTTCACTACACTCATGAGTATTTCATGAAGCTCGAAACGTTTTTTAAGGTAATTAGGAAGTTTCTCTAACGGCGCGGACTTAAAATGAGCATTCAGCATTTGGGAGTGTGCTTCTGCTTTCTCCACCTCTAAATCTGACAAGTTCATCCAGTGAAGAACACATAAAGTCTCCATAGCATCATATTCTGTTTCAATATCCTTGTCCATACCTGTTCGAAACAATGATCAAATTATGTGAATAAAGTTATAATAATATGGAATTGTAGAGTTGCTCCTAATCTTGGTACAAAACTTAAAACTACTTGATTGAAAGTTCAACATCATTCAACTTGGCACAAATATGCCTTTTTATCGAATCAAACTGCAATGCTTATAGTCAGGGACGAAACGGAATCTCGTTAGCTTTTCGTGTTAAAAGCGATTTCTCAACGGTTATCACCTCTCTAGATGATTCTTAAAACATTTGGACTTCATTGCATTTTTGAAATAAATGCAATGAGGGCGTTTTCGGCCACACCCTTTTTCAGGGTTTTGCGGTCACTCGAATTTTTGTATATCAGCTCAGGAAGGTCTAAAAGACTATTCTGATACACCACAATGTGCCTAATAGCCACATTTATATACAACTTATGAAGCAACATATACCTTAAAATGCTTCGTTTCGGAATTATGGCCGAAAAAACGGTTTTTGGCTTGACGCAGTTCATAATTTCCGTGATTTTTGGCATTTCCGCCTAGGAAGGTCGTAGAGACTATTCTGATATACTAAAATGTACATAATGGCCACATTTATATACAACTTATGAAGCAACATATACCCTAAAAGGCTTTCTTTCGGAAATGTGGCTGAAAAACGAATTTTTGCCGAGCGAACAAGACAGTATTCACAAATGGGCTATTGGACTGTTAACTAAAAAGGTCTTAAAGAAGATTCATGAGGAACATAGCATTTGTCACAAGATGTAAGATGACTCACTTTGTGTCCAGAAACACTCACAAAAATTGTAGAATAATCTACTTTATTGGGCATCTCTCTTAATGGGCCAGGACAGCAGCATATTTGTGTCTTACGAAAGGGCAATTTTTCAAAATTACGGTTTCTTTAGTAGAGGTCAAAGTAAAGGTCAAAGGGTCAGTTGCTAACAGCAAATTGTTTGCAATTGCCGACTCATGCACATCATATACTCAAAAACGTTCACTTTAGGAGTGATTAGTAAAAAAGTTTAACTATACTGCATGATTTGTGAAAACTCCAAAAATTTTTCATTGGCACCAATTTAGCCAAAATGTAATGACCAAAATTCAACTTTTAATTTATTCATTCCATAAAACCATATTGTTGCTTGACCGCTGACCAGTACCCCACTTTATAATTATAATTGACTTCACTGCCTCGACCAATATTGGTCTGTAATCCCTGGATTGAGATCTGTTGGCTGCAGTTTAATTTAGCTCATTTACCATTTAAATAGTAATACCGCAGTGGTTTGGTTCGCATAGATTTTCCCATCGTATGATAATGTGTGTCATTCCCTCGTTTTTTAATCAAGTGGTTACTAGCTAGCTCTTTTGTTATTACAGCTGCCTCGAGATCTTATCTAGGGCACTAATGCAATAGTACTAGAACACTAGAACTGTAATTCTAGAACTTCAGATTAAGATTACTTGACTGAATGGCAGGGTTCGAGATTCGACTCTAAAACTCTCATTTTAGGAGTGATTAGTAGATGCATGATGTGCGAAAACTCCAACTAGACAAGGATCATGCTTAATCAAAGTGTTCCTCGACTTGAACTTAAGTCTCGTAAGCCCAAACTGGAGTTTGGGCCACTGAATCGAATACAACCTGATATTAATTTTAGGATTTCGGGAAATTCATTCAGATTTTTATTCTTTGGTTTTTCAATTGTGCTACGAATCCGAGTTTGAGTTGATAACACCGAATTTCCTGTTTGACTCTCAAAGAGAGGAACCAAGGCGTAGGTTCCTCTTTTTGGCTCTGAGATCCAACTTTAAGATCGGACTTTTGAGATCATTGCGTCGGAGATCATGTAAGTGTAACATCAGTACCGGAGATCAGACTTTTTTGCTTGATATTGGACCTATAAATCTAATGGTATATTCGAAACAGCACGGGATTTAACCAAGGTTAATTTAGATAAAATATAGCTGCTTTCGGGGTTACAAGACCCCACGAAAGGCAGGCAGAGCATCCTAAATCCTCATGCTATCCTCACGTTGACCATCTAGGTCCATACCCCAGCCTCTCATTAGAAAACAGCTACTAGGCCCGATATCCGTCCCTTGTCCCGTAGTACTAGTGCCCCGTAAGTAAGAGATCGTTCAGATTTTGGTCATTTAGACCCCCTCCCCGCTCTAAAATCCACTTTAGCACTTTACCCAAAGCTGGAAAAATTTCACATGTGAAACCTAAATAGCTAAATCAGCATCTCGAGACCTTCTATTATATAAACCCCGTGATCCTACTATAAGCTTATAACTTATAAGGCATTGCATGCCGAAATTAAGATCCACCTCAACTGGTGATATGAACCTGGTATGTTACCTGAATGCCCTCAGTCAAATCTCGAACCCTGCTAATGCTATTCTGCCAAGTAACCTTAATATGAGGTTCTAGAATTACAGTTCTAATGTTCTTAGTTAGTGCCCATGCCCCAGATAAGATCTCGAGGCAGCTGTAATAACAGAAGAACTAGCCAGTCACCACTTGATTAAAAAACGAGGGAATGACACGCATTATCATACAATGGGAAAATCTATGCGACAAAAAAAAGAATATGGGGTCATTCTGAAGTGAGAACCAAACCACTGCGGTATTATAGGAAATCAACTAAATTAAACTGCGGCCAACAGATCTCAATCCAGGGATTACAGATCAATATTGGTCGAGGCACTTAAAGTGGGGTACTGGTCAGCTGTCAAGCAACAATCTGGCCCGGATCCAGTGCCGATTTATTGTAGGTGCGGTATTCTTGGTACATATATCATGGTTTCATGGCATGAATATAAATAAAAAGTTTGAAATTGAATTTTGGTCAACAACGTTAATGTGGCTCTAGCTATGTGTTGGTTCAGCCGAATTAATTATTATTTTTAATCAAGTTTATTTTTCTCGCTAGTTGTCATCCGGCCAAACATTAAGCAACTTATATTGCAGTACCATTCATCAATTTGTATATCAAAATATGTCATTGTAATTTTGCATGGCTGAAATGTAACGCTTGATTTATATATATAATGATTAATTGAATTTTCAAATAAAATAAAAAAACACATTTTATTTAAATTGGTGCCAAGGAAAAATTGTTGGGGTTGTCACAAATCATGTAGTAGTTATTTACTAATGACTCCTAAAGTGAGCGTTTTTGAGTATATGATGTACATGAGTCGGCAATTGCGAACAATTTGCTGTTAGCAGCCGATCCTTTGACCTTAAGAAACCGTAATTTTGAAAAATTGCCCTTTCGTAAGACACAAATATGCTGCTGTCCTGGCCCATTAAAGCATTAAGAGAGATGCCCAATAAAGTAGATCATTCTCCAATTTTTGTAGGTGTTTCTGGACACAAAGTGAGTCATCTTACATCTTGTGACAAATGCTATGTTCCTCATGAATCTTCTTTAAGACCTTTTTAGTTAACAGTCCAATAGCCCATTTGTGAATACTGTCTTGTTCGCTCGGCAAAAATTCGTTTTTCAGCCACATTTCCGAAAGTAAGCCTTTTAGGGTATATGTTGCTTCATAAGTTGTATATAAATGTGGCCATTATGTACATTTTAGTGTATCAGAATAGTCTCTGCGACCTTCCTAGGCGAAAATGCCAAAAATCACGGAAAATATGAACTGCTTCAAGCCAAAAAACCGTTTTTCGGCCATATTTCCGAAACGAAGAATTTTAAGGTATATTTTGCTTCATAAGTTGTATATAAATGTGGCTATTAGGCACATTTTGGTGTATCGGAATAGTCTTTAAAACCTTCCTGGGCTGAAATACAAAAATTCGATTGACCGCGAGACCCTGAAAAGGGGTGTGGCCGAAAACGCCCTCATTGCATTTATTTCAAAAATGCAATGAAGTCCAAATGTTTTAAGAATCATCTAGAGAGGTGATAACCGTTGAGAAATCGCTTTTAACACGAAAAGCTAACGAGATAGCCTTTTAGAACGGTTGGGATCCGACTATTAATTATTACTTGAGAAAATAATTGGCATGCTGGTAGGTTGGCCAAGTCAGCACAGTTGCGAAATGAAATATGAAATTTGGATCACGATAGAATTATAATTATCGTAACACAGCATATCAAATACTTTTACAATCGGTCACGTTGATCATTAGTACTTTAGTAGCACAACATACTTAAAATGATTGTTACACAGTTGTATTAAATTAATATTATTATTCTACTTTAAACTTTAAACAAAAATTATAGAGCTAATAAAGGACGATATTAAGTTCGACCACTTCTTTATATTTAATAAAAATCCCTATTAGGGCAAAATTAAGTTACGTTAGATATAATGTTTAACTATATAAAAATATGACTAATTATTTAAAGTCAACATAATCAAATGATAATAAAATTGTGTAGCATGAGCTTGAGGGTCGAATAATTTAAAAATGAGTACTCTATATAACTTTAACTAGATCAATATGTAATATGTATCTCCTTGCTCTTCTGATAAAATTTAGAACCTTTTTCAAAACAGGTTCATCAATAACATGCCTCAATAAACTATCGACTTAGTAGTTAGTAGGTGGTACATTTGAGGCAGTTCATAAAAATCATATCCTACCCAATAACCAAAAAAATGTATAAAAATTATATTGTATAAAAATAGTTTACATGATATTGATATAACCATAAATTATACTTACTGATTTTCTCATGGCAAAAAAACACTGCACCAAACAAAACAAAGAATAACTCTATCTAAATAATTCGTCAGTTTTAAAGTCCGAAAGTTCATCGAGTTTGTCGCTACCCTCTTTGATGTCCTGGTTAATTCGTTCTTTTAATGCTTCTAGTGATTCAAACTTGCACTCGTCCCTTATAAAACCTGAACATAAAGGATTATACTTGATGACAATAGTCGTTATTACAATTTCATCGAATTATTATCTGATAGAAAACACTAAATTTGAATAATTTATCTAAAATAAGTTATATCTATTAAGTTATTTATCATGATCAATCGATCTTAGCCCAAAAATGTGAAATTATCTTAAACATTTCAAACAATACATAATTATACAGAATTGAATGCTTCTAAATAAACCCAGTTATAAAAGGAAAAAACCGATATAGCCCTAATTTTCACTATCCCAGAATATCGAAACCCAAATTATGTATTGAGAGAGGGGTAACCAAAACACGGTAGTGTGCAGTAAATACCACACCCGCAATAACATTGGGCCCTAGCAACAATTAATTAATCAATGAATTAAAACATATAATATTGTACTTATAGAAAATATAAAACTCTCAAGGCTCCTTCTTCGAGCTAATGACTCTAAAGTTCCTGATTACGTGAACTTTGTCCGGCTCTGCTGTCCTTTTATTGAGTAGCTGGATGACAACTTTCTTGTAGGCTATTCTGTCTGCAGCTGATCTATCAGGAGTTATGTAAACAGAAGTAAACCCGTCTACATGTCTTAATAACTTAGTCTTGCTCAAGATGGTACGAGCTTGATCTGAGCTTGACAAAGTGAATTTAACTGGTCTGACTCGTTCACTTGTGTCCTTTCCAACTCTATTACATCTCAAAATTTTTGGTTTTTCGTTGAGATGGTCCAACAAAATACCAGATACCTTAGCATCCAGGTTCTCCTCAGTCTCTGGAATCCCAAAGATAATCAGACTTTTACTTCGATCTTCTTCTAGGGCAACCCTTTTCACTGCAGCTTGGATTTTCTTCGGTGCAAAGGCGTTTTTGCACGTGTTTTTCAACAGAGACGAAAAGGTGTTAATCTCTTTCTGAGCTGCACTTTTCACAGTTCCAATCTCGTCATCCTTCTTCAAAGCTAACTTCTCCTGCAGATCACTGATTTTTGTCATATCTTCTTCTTGTTTAGAGAGTAACTTCTCTTGCAGTTCTATGATCTTATTCGCATCTTCTATTTTTTCTTTCCTGAACACCCTGTTGTCGGTAGCTGTTTCTGTGGCAGATTGTAACAATGGACCACAATAATCGTTCAGCAAACAGCACACTGTCTCTAGCCATTCTGATAACCTCTCTCTAGGCACACTTCTCTGGTTCAGTTTGTCAAATTGCACATCATCGTTGTGTTCGGCACCGATTTTACTTCTAATCTCCTTGAAAATACTGTTAGTTGCCATGTGTATCTGATTCACATACTCCGTAAGGAACTGGCCATTCATAGCCATAGCATCATCTAGCATATCCAAGTGTTCATTCTGTAGCGGCAAAGGCATCGTACACGTTGTACAGAAAATGTACAAACAATGTATACAAATCTACAAAGCCAGAGAGATAATTCAGCGCGCACACAAAACTGCTGATAAGAGAGCTACAATTTAGCAACGAATGTAAAAGTGTAATATCGAACTAACCTAGAAACAGAAATCTCAACTCCTCTCCATAGAAATCCTTATCAAACTCATGCAGTATGCGAACTTCTATAGATTTCTCCTCGTTACCATAGTGAGGGTTCCATCCAACACTTGTCACTGCTTTGAAGACAGGTCCTCCCGACACAGAGGCAAACCCGTAGTACACCCCTGATGTCAAATATAATGAGAAACAAGATATTATTTGAATTCCCTTGTTCCACAGATTTAAAGAAAATTATGTTCGTCATACTTTGGATAAAAGCTGAATAGTTATTTGTTTTGCAATGTTATCCATTTTCACAGAACGCAAGTGCCAAGGAATAAGAATATGGATAGAACTTGTAACGGAAAGATATTGTATAATGCATAATGTATAAGATATACCTAAATAATTTACACAGTGCCCATGTCTGAGCAATTCTCCTCAAAAACTTTCTCTCCTCATCGGAGCCAAAAGTTTAAAACAAAAAATAAGGTTTAAAAAGTGATACCATCAGATTGACGGGTGAAGAAAAAATGGTAATAGTATACGGTTAGTTATAGAACTGCTGACCTAACGAGTGCCGAAGGCACGAGTTTTGTCAGCAGTTTTATAATTTACTTACAGCACGGCTCAAGATCACGGTGATACTTACCGTTTGCGACCAAAAATTTGAAATTTGGAGTTAATTAAGAGGTCGAAAATACCGAAAAACTGATTTTTCACACCTTCAAAAGTTTTCATTGTCCAATGAGAGGCCTTCCATCTGACAGGTAGCGTGCAGGACATCTTGGTATCACGTGGCGATTTCTTAACATATCAATGGATGCTTGGTGTTCTTCATGTGACCTCCGTTATAAACGTACTGTATTTTCATAAGTATCAATGACAGGCGAGGTCCAGGTTGAAGCGTGGAAGGAAGTAAAAAGTGCAAGGAAGTTTTCAAAAAAAAATACTGATACACCAGGGTGTATCAGTCCTCTAAATGGCTAAGAACTATCACGGGTCATACCACGTACAGTACCTCGTGACTACGTCACTCGGATACCACGTGTATAGACACACCGGAGCCGTGCTGTAATGTATACTTACAATATCATGAATATGATTACCAAATAATTACACAAATTTTCGATTCATAACACTGAAGAAATCAATATCAAAACAATGCTGAAGGCAGATAAGTTAAATTTACTTCAATTTGATGTACTAGATCTACTGTAAACACTAACCTCAAAAATACATAAGATTAGATAAGGTGAAGTATGTTGAACAAAAAAATATCAAGACCAGAGAGGACGACAAATAATTCAAGATAGTAATATCGTGGGATGGATACCACGATATTATTATCTTGAACTATTAAACACAATTTATATGCAAAAAGCACATATTATTACTGTAAAAGGATTTGATTAAAACATTTTCCCTCAATTAATGAACATTGAACATATTATAGCTGACAAAAACTATTAACTTTCAAGAAGTGTTTCTATTGTGTCCTTGATGATATCAAACCCATCTTTATTGTCTATGACTTGATGGTCACAATTTTTGATATAAGTGAGTTGCAAGTCATCACTTTTGTACATTTGATCGATTTCAAGAGATAGAGAATAACTAAACGGAACTGTTTTATCATCAATCCCTTGAATAACTCTGACGGGAAACTTCCCTTCAATTGGGCCCATCGATGTATCAATACTGTTGGCAACACTATCTTCATAAAGTTGCAGACTATAAGGAAATGGTTTCCACCCTTCATGGCCCCCAAGATCTATTGTAATAACTTCTCCATTTTCTAGCTGTCTCAGCTTTTTCTTGGAGATGAAAGATTTGACAAACTCGTGAAAAACAGGTCCATAGTTAATGCCAGGACAAATCAACACCATGGAATGAATTTTACACGATTGCCTCTGAGCAATACATGTGGCCATGTGACCACCCAAAGATTTACTCAACACCAGTGGTGGTGTGTTGGTTATTTCATTCATCATATCAATCATCCTACATGCGTCTTCTATCCATGTTGAGAAGTTACAATCCGAAAATTTTAAGTCAGACATTCCCATCCCACGAGGGTCATAACAAAGAAAGTTACTGTCTTCAAGATTCTGGAAGTACTTTTTCAAAATGATGCTTTCATCTGAATCTTGCCCAGTAGTGAACCCAGGTATGTAAACCACACCCCTTTTCTGTGGATTATGTTCAATAAGCGTGTATTCTACTCCAGATTTCCGTCCATGGTAGACGTTAGGGACTGAAATAGTTAAACAAATTTTTTAAAGTTAAACCAATTTTTAATTATATCCTTACATAATAATTAATTCGGCTGAACCAACACATAGCAAGAGCCACATTAAAGTTGGGGCCGTCTAAAGTTATACAAGTAATACAATAAAAAACATAAGCTCCTGTGTTTGGTAAGCTGCCTGTATTTGGTAAGCTGCCTGTTTTACCAAATAATCATAAACTAATGGATACAGTTTACTGAAAAATAAAATGCTATTTAACAACTCAGTGCCAAGGACGAAAGGAAATCATGGCACATGCGAATCGCGATCTTTCCCATTCTCCGCGACAAATCGCGATTTTTGACGTTTGCAGCGAAAAATCACAATTTTCTCAGATCCTCGCGACAAATCGTGATTATTTTAGTTCTCCGCGACAAATTGCGCATTTTACTTTAAATCTGAGGACCAAATTTGCGCATTCTCCTTTAAATCTTCATGTTCACGTTCTTTATATTAGTATATGGAACCAATCACATCCACATCCTTCCGAATTTATGTATGGACTTCAGAAGCTCATAATGATCAGGGTAGCATGAAATATGAACAAACGTAGTTTCCAGAAAATCTTTGAAAAAATGTCGATAATAAGTTCCCGCCTGCATTCCAAGATCGCATTACAAGGGGGAAGCCTTGAGTCAAAAATCGTACATCGAGAGGTATGTACTACTAAAAGGTACGGACGCCAGTAAAGTAAACCGAAAAAATATGTTAGGCTCATAATGATCAGGGTAGCATAAACCGTGGAAAACAATTGGTTTCCAGGAATCCACGTTCACAAGCATTTCTTAACCCACTCGTCTGCTGACGTAACATTGTTAGCCAAAAACGTCCCTAAAACTTGACACTAGACATAAACTTTATCACTAAACACCCCAATCAATGTATTGAAAACTGCAAACATTCACATGACGATGACTCACCCCACTTAAGGAATTGTGCGAGAAGATGAACAAAGGCAAAGATAAGGAAATAAATTAATGTGTAATGTGTTGGAAAAGGTTGGTTAGGCATAAGGTTAGTTGAATCATGATATTTGGAACCATGAGAACATTGATCAATTGTTAAGACAATCTATGCCGGCAACAGCTAGAATGAGGGTGAAGGGAATATTTCTACGAACATAGTGATCAGGAGTGTCTGCTTTATACTCGGACGATGAGCCCTTGGTCCCCACAAAAGATAATCTTTAGAACTATAAACTTTAGAACTCATGGTCAGTCTATAAAACACATGAAAAGCAGTGTGCTCCATACCGCTTAGTCCCTAGCTTTGTTATCAAAACATGTGATTAGATTACGTGATGTTATCTCATTGTAAACAGGGTTTATTTGTTTGATTACTTGTTGTATGGTAAAGTATTAACACAAGTTAACTAATAATATTATGTTTATGAGTACTGATTCGAAGTGGAACATCGAGCTCTGTTCTGGCAAGGTCTGGCGAGCTGGGAGGAACTTTCGAGATCGTCTGGAAGGGCTGATCTAAAAGCAAGCTCTGCTCAGTATTTATAGCTAATCTAACTAGACTAACAAGCTAGTTAACGAATATATGACATCTACAGTAACTTTGCTCTGCAAATGCATAATCTTTCGACGCAATTTTCGAGATTTTCGCTTCGATTTTGCCCAGTTTGGCGCGATTTTTGGCCTAAATAATCGCGATTTTCTTTTTTCCTTGCTCTGTGTTCTATTAAATGAATTGGAGATATCTTATTTTATCTAATTACCCAAGAACGACCCAGAGAGCAGTAGACGGAGACATGTGCTTTATGAATAATCGGAAGGAAATTTAAAACCATCAAAACAGTCAAGCAAAATGGACAGTATGTTATAAAAAACTAATTCATAGTAATGGACACGTTTTTTTTTAAGTGTGGTGAGTTGCTGATTTCACCTTTTTCAAAGTAGAGTGCACAAAATGAGGAAAAAGTCGCAATGCTTTTTAAAGTGCAACCATACATTTGTACATAAGATGAAGTGAAAATATTCAGCAGTTGTGATTTGAAAAAACGAAGTGCCAGGCTCAAGCAGAATATGACTTATGAGCAATTAAACTGAGTGCCAAAAATCAGCAAACCATTTTAACCTCCAATTGACTAATTCCATTGATTTCGCCATATTTTGCTCAAATATTGTTCACATAACACTAGTAGATTGGAGCGAGTAACTGTTTTCAGCATTTTAGTCATTATTAGCAATTCCAGTAAGTGACAGAATCCAGCAAAAAGTCATTTTTATATCTGAATACGACTGCTCTATTGATGGTTCTTGTCAAAATATTAAAAAGATCAAGGCGTGACTGTGCTATTTTCTGGATAAGATAATGTTTGGTTGTGTCTTTAAACTTATTCTTACATGTCTATGTGCGAGCCATCAGCCATCGTTAGATTTTGTAAAGAATCATCTTGATGAACCTGCTTATGCTGTCAGACATCAATTGTATAGTGCCAATATTCAGCAAAGAGTCATTTCTTTCGAATTTTTAATCGTGATGAATTTGACCTTAAAATGACTTTTTACTGAAAACTGACACACTCTTAAATTGATTTTCGAACAGAATGCTGTTGAGCAGACTTAATCTCGACAGTATGATTGAAAAACGTTCTAATTTGTTGCTGTCTAGCTACTGCAATGTAAAAAAACTCAATTGTAATTTTGTGAGTGATTTTTTACTGAATACAGGCACACAATAGGTTTTTCCTAGGTTACATTATTACAGACCAACGTTTCTTGAAAGTTGTTACAGTTCATTCACAAGCTGATCGAAAGTATGGGCCTTGTACAACCCCTTCAACCAAACTAGAAATTTTACCAAACAAATGACTTTATGCTTATTTTGAGCACAGTTCAAGTATTCCTACCCCAATCCAAATATTCTTTGAATAATTCTGAGACATAATCTGAATTTTGAACAGAAAAGTCGCAAAATTCAGTTTTTTACGGGCGTTTTAAACATTATAGTCCAAAATGCTGAAAACTGGCACTACCTTGGTACTATATTATGACATATTAACTAACTAATGGATTTTCCTTACAGGGGCAGTTAAGATTGAAGGCATTTCTGTGCAACACTTTCTAGTTAATAGTCATTTTACTTTCATTGTCAAAAGTGTCATGGCACTCAAAGTCATTTTCACCACACTTAAAAAAAAACGTGTCCTAATCATATAAATCATAACAGAAACGATATTATTATATAAATCATATTATCTATAATCACGCCTAATTTGTTTAATTTCTGTACAATCAGTAATGTCAAATGTACAAACTTAATACATTTAAAAAAACACTTCAGACCGTGAGGAAGGGAGGACCAAACATAAACACAGATGAATCTGCCAATATGACATCAAACATACACAAAATGTAAAATGGAAGGTATTATTAAAAGAACATACATAAAAAGAACAAAAGAACTCAAAGGTAGCAACACCCACCAGTAGAAAGATTTTTTGCTGTATCCACAGCTTTTTGGTCCATGTTGGCAGTAGGACAACCCAACTCTTTGCCACCACGACCAAAGCCTTGGGTAACAATACCAGTCAGTCTAAGAGGAGAAAGTAATCTCGCCATGTGACCTAAAAATAATGTGTTTGTTTTGTATTTTAATCAATAGATGTTTGAAGTACATGATAAGCTAATATGTAAGCCTGACCTTTTTTAGTACATAAGCAAAATTATTTGTGGCAGCAAAAATATTTAGCAGGGGCAGCACATAGGTTTGTTACCCCACAGCTCTGGACAATTCTCCTTGTTGTGTACATTTTATTTACCCTCTAAATCTTATTCTCATATAGAACCAGTCATGCAGTAACATTCAACTTTGTTGCTCACTTATCACTGCACGCAGTGGACTTAATCTAATAATAATAATAATTCTATACTGTTACATAATTTAAAAATTATGGCCCCTTATTGTGGGCAGAGTATGTGTCTTTATTTAAGTGTCCTGATTTAAAATCATCTGAGTGACTGCATTGAAATAATTTAAGGAGAGTACCATAAAAACGTTAAAACAAAAGGAGTGACAACTAGAACATACTTATATTAATATCAACATTAGAACAAAATACAATCACCTAATTCTCTTCTGCTACGGTTGAGTATTATAGAGGAACCATCTTTGGCGTGTATTACGGACTTAGACCATTACAAATACCCTGCTGTAAGTTTGCAAGGTATGTGGACTAAGTGGGTCGAGAGTACTCGACTTGGAAGTGGGTGTTGAGAATTCTCAACTAAACTAGAAGATAATGATGTCCAGAAGATGAGGCAGTAGATGGAGTAGTAAAGGAGTAGTAGAGGCTGAAGGGGGAGTGATGTCATAAGGAGATGTAGGACTTAATCTAAACAGTAAGCAGCCTATTTAGATTACTTATATAATATTTGTATTGTGGGTACCAGTTCATGGAATCACTTACTTCCAAAGAATCGTTCTACTTCACTAAAATTTCTCGATTTCTCCCATTAAAATCTTTCTTTTACTCAAGTCTGACTTCTGAACTTTCTCACCTTTCTTATTCTATGTGATAAGAGGAGCAAGCATTAAATGATTCTGAGCATACAATTCTTGATATTATATTTGGCTGTATTCGATAATAAAACAATACTTAAAACATGCAGATGATATTGAAAAGCCAAATAAAGTACAATTTATAAATAGTATGAATATTGCATACCAAGGTACATATTCTGCCCTCAATAAGGGCCCATAAGTGTATCAATTATGTGACTGTGTAGATTTATTATTATACTATTGTTTCTTGGGTAAAATTTGTATTGATCCTATCCCGTTATTATTATTATTACCAGGCCAAGAAAATTTTCAAAGTTTATGGTAAAAACGTTGAGTGACTATACTTTGTATTATTATTATTATCAAACATGTCAATCTTACAAATGTCAACAATCCTAAAATAATTTAGAACCTAAACGTGATCCTTTGTAAGATTATATGTCCCAAAAGTCAAATTGACTTGTACTCAAGTATAAAGTCGAACAATTTACTCCAATAACCACGGTTACTAGCAAGTTCTCTCAAATGAAGAATATCATCATACGACTCCAGCAAGATGAAACGCTTCCAGAGGTCAACCTTCAGGTGGTGTAGGAGGTTACGTCTGTGAGCCCCGAGTCTACCAACTTCACTACACATCTCGACAGCAAAGCACAGCGCAGCTTGAGCTGGTGATCTTTCATCGCTCCTCAGTATGTGTCCTAGCATCTTCCACCTAGATAACTCAGCACGCTCAGACATAGGGGTAAAACCCTAACCCTAACCCTAACCTATACTTTGTAACTATATCTTATTAGGCACATATTGTATGGTCACACATAAGTATCGTCACACTAGTTTTGAACAATATATACATAATATAACAATAACCCTATGTAAAAATTCAATAAAAATCAGAATAAATTTTATAAAAACCATTTAAGAAAGAAATTTTTTAGAAAGAAAAAATGGCTTTGAGCTGTATGGTCACACATTAAAACTAATTGTACCATCTTTTAACTATAAGAACTCTAAGTTTGGTGAGCGTAGCTTCTCTGTCGTGGTTCCAAAGATCTACAATCGTCTACCTAATACCATTTCATCGGCGCAATAATTGAAATCATTTAAAGAATAAAGCTCTTCTAAAAACTTTTTTGTTTAAAGTGCCCCTTCATGAACTTATAATACTTTATCGATAATTTATTTTGGTCAATATTGGTGTTTGTAGGTTTACAACCTACCAGGACGCGCGCCGAGTTGGACTCGTCGACGGTCCAATATATGGAACAGATATTTTACGAGTATCACCCGTTAATATTGGTGTTCGATTTTTATATGTAAGTATCATTTTCTGTCATTAGACTTAATAGCGATACATTTTTTGACACATGACGCTGTAACCCCTTTTGATCGCGCGCCGGCCGGCTTCGCGTGCACGAGAATGAGAAGTACACAACTTGTAGCAATGTATTTTCAACCAAAATTTTGCGCGTCGTAAAATACACCCAGGAAACCTTACTGGCTGGAGCCTAACTTTGAAAGTAAAAGAAATAGCGTCTTCCGGTTTTTTGCAAAATGTTCGTTTCGCAAAAATAACGTTTCCCCCAGGGGGAAATTGAAAACAACGTAGATTTTGAATTATCACGAAAAGTCATATTTTAGGCCTTATAAAACTGCGTAGCTTTAACTTTGCAGATTGTTGTTCTCTGATTGGCTGAATCGTATCACGTGGTACGCGGTACAATTGCATTCTTGGAATATTTGAAGCGTGCAAATGCAATGAACTAGCGAGCGCGCGCGGAGTTCAACATGCTGTGAAAAGGCGATCACCCTGTAGTGATATCGCTAGCCAGTAAGGTTTGCTGGGTGGCAAGTGCTACGAAGTATGAGATAGCCGAGAGGCTGCAAAGGGGGGAGTTGATGGCGAGTTATGCTTTGTCAAAGTGGATGCTTTTTAAAATGAAACCGAAAGTCTTTAAACTGCGAGTTGTGTTGGTTTTATGTATAAGTATCGATTCGCATGACTTGTGACGAAATACCCAATTAGAGTTAGTACAAGCCAAACACAAGGATATCTCGTGAACAGATCATATGTACCTGTTGCAGCCGGTCGCAGACCTTGGTCGCTATAATTGAGCTTTAAGTGACATTAAGTGACCGTTGAGCCACACTTCTTGACAAATTTTGTTTAGAATAACGACCCAATCATAAGGTGAAATGTATAGGCTGTATTTTAAGGGCTAATCTCAGTCCATCTAAGTCGTAAGTTTGGAGGCATAATACGGCTAATTTTGCGATTCTTTAAAGTCTTGAACCAATGACCAAAATACCCTGCTGCGCCGTCAACTGGGCCCAGGAAACCTTACTGGCTGGAGCCTAACTTTGAAAGTAAAAGAGATAGCGTCTTCCGGTTTTTTGCAAAATGTTCGTTTCGCAAAAATAACGTTTCCCCCCAGGGGGAAAATTGAAAACAACGTAGATTTTGAATTATCGCGAAAAGTCATATTTTAGGCCTTATCGCTTATAAAACTGCGTAGCTTTAACTTTGCAGATTGTTGTTCTCTGATTGGCTGAATCGTATCACGTGGTACGCGGTACAATTGCATTCTTGGAATATTTGAAGCGTGCAAATGCAATGAACTAGCGAGCGCGCGCGGAGTTCAACATGCTGTGAAAAGGCGATCACTCTGTAGTAATATCGCTAGCCAGTAAGGTTTGCTGGGCAACGTGGAAAAATTATTGAGAATTGACGATATATTATGATCTAATAATAAATTTTACAAAGCTGGCTTTGGATTTAGGTAGGATTATAATTTATTTTAAAAAAACCACGGATAGTTTAAATTTATTTTTAGTAAAACAAATTTAGTAAAACAAATTTAAATTTTGGTATTTATTAATAACAATCAAAACATATCATATCATAAAAATAAAGCCGCGCGTTGGGTGACTGCCTCAGTATGGTGAATAATTTAAGCTTGAAGGTGCCCTGCGCATTTACAGAACATTATGCGGCGATCACATGATCACGAGGACCTGTGAGCGCCAAATTTAATTTAAACTTTCTAGAAATCGTACATCACTACGAGTTACTCATGCTTTTGAATTATAGGAGTGCGGATTGTCATGTATTTCATTCATTCATACTTAATCGGTTTAAAGCTGTATATTTAGAGCTCACTATTGTTTGAACTATGAAAGCAGAACGTAAATAATGGACAATATACCGACGACAATACCAAGGACCCGAGTGCCGCATTGACTTTTCCGGATCCGTTTTTACCGAAGGCTTATCCACCAGTTACTCATGCTGCATGTATAGTCTGATAATATTTTGTTTTATCTCTAGCAAGCATTCTGTAAGTTGGAGTGTCGTATTTATTATAGAAGAGCCAGCCAACCTCCGCATTACAATCTTTTGTATGCCAGGTTCGTTTATAAAATCTAATCATATAATAAGATTGATCCAATAGTCTAAGATGAACGGTATATCTTAGCTCATCGTTATTAAAATCCTAATGGATGAATTAATCAAGTAATGTTCCCTTCCAACACAACTAAACAACAAACAAATGCTTGCTCACCAGTGGTGACGCAATCGTAGGGGCATGCAGTTGGTTCAGATAACTCTCACCCCGACGACAGCGTCGAGAAATTATCAAATGATGCATTTGCGCCATACTGGACACATTTTATATTTAATATTTTGTGGTTTGTAGAAATTAGTGTCATCTAAAGTATAGCTTAACTGGCGAGCAAGCATCGTCCACTCGGCGGGGACGAAAATACCGAGTCCAATCACAGAAAGTTAACCAAAAGATAAAAACAAGAGCTCGGATATCAACAAAAATCACACGCTCCAGACGACGGGGGAAGAGAGGATAGGAAGTAAGCTGCTGGGCTCAACAAATTTTGATAATTGTAAACAAATTTGTTCTTGTGCCCTATAATAATTTGGTATTGAGGTATGACCCTGTACTGTGCGTGATAGTGAAAATGAAAGTGAATGTGAATCTGTAATGCGAACGAAATGAGTTATGGCCAGACGATTCTTCAATTTCAAAATAATAAAGTCAAAGGACTCTGTTTTAAAATACAAGCTCATTCTTATCGAAGTTTAATTCTGTCCATTCTAAATCTTCGTACCTGGACTGTATCTTGAGTAGCTCACTTTTCAGTGTTACTTTAACTAAGTTCGTTGACTTAGTAAAGCTTATCATACTGTCAATTTTTCGACAGTCGTTCCACATTTTTGTTGATTGATAAATGAAAGAGGAGGATGGGTTTGGGGTGATGAACTGGTCTGAACGTCTTTGTGATGGTGATCTGTGGAGTAAAGATAGGAGTGAGATTGGAGATTCTAATCTGACAATTTTGAACAGTTCTAATAGACATGTGTATTTGTACAGGTTGTGGACGGTAAGAAGGCCGTTCTTGTTAAACAACGGCTTTGTATGCTCTTTTTCAAAGAATTCTCTTCCTAGGATTTGTTCATCTATACAACGTGTTCTGGCACATGTTCTAAATTTATCTAGATATGCTTCAAGGTCACCAAATAGTATTCTGATACATTTTTTCTGAGTGATGAAGATAGGTTGAAGCATATTATTACTCGACCCACCCCATACCGATATTCCAAATCTTAGGTGTGACTCAAATAACGTGTGGTACAATTCTTTATGGTGTTTTTTCGGGATAACGTGTCGTATTCTACTGAGTCTTCCGATCTCACACCTAAGTTTCGAGTTGAGGGCTCTTATTTGAACATCCCATTTTAGCTTTTCGTCAATAATAACACCTAAAAACTTGGTCTCTTTAACTTGCTTTATTACCGTATTATTTAGAGTTAGTATATATTCTGATTCGTTATCTGCCTCATTATCAGTAGCTGTACGTGACGGATTGAAGTGAATGTAGCAGCATTTCTTTATATTTATATGTAATAGATTGCATTTCATGTACTGGTGTAACAAACGGAGAATTTCGTTTGCTCTTGCATACAGTTTTTTTCTACATTCATCTACTACGAATATGTTTGTGTCATCTGCAAATAGTATGAACTTGCCCAGATCAGTTGTTCTAAATAAGTCGTTAACATATATTATAAATAGCAAGGGTCCGAGACAAGAGCCTTGAGGAACTCCAAAGAGAACAGGCAGCTTGTCAGACTCTTCGCCCAGTACAGAGACATATTGATATCTATTAGAGAGATAACTAGCGATGAGTCTATTGGCGTTTCCACGTATTCCATAGTTGTCTAGTTTATTAAGTAGTTTTTCATGTGAGATCGTGTCAAACGCTTTAGATAGATCAATAAATATTCCAAGTACATGCAGTTTTTTACTAAGACAGGATTCTATGTAATTCACTGAGGAGTTGAGGGCATGGCTTGTGGAGTGATTTTTTCTAAATCCGTACTGGTTCTCGTAAATCATTTTCTGGGACTGAAAGAAGCTATACAGTCTGTTGTAAATAATTTTTTCAAATATCTTACCAAAAACAGCTAAAGTTGATACTGGCCTATAGTTTTCCAGCAATTCCTCATTATCCTTCTTATAGATCGGACTGATTCTCCCAGTCTTTAAATCATCTGGGAATACTCCATTCCTCATGCATTCACTGTATAATAAAGATAGTATAGGACAGATCACTTTAGACGATTCTTTAACTACATGTATTGGGATGTCGGATGACTTCCCATTCTTCAGTTCAGATATAATCATTCTAACCTCGTCAGCTGTACAGTCATTAATGAAAATACTGGACGTGTTTGCTCTAGGCAGGTAGTCATAAAAACTAGGAAGATTGTTAATAGTTAGTTCTCCAATTTCATTATATGCCCCGTTTAAATTAGACGCTAGAGAAACAAAATACTTATTAAATTCATTGGCTATTACTCTACGATTGGTTATCTTCTCATTGTTTATAGTAAACAGTGGTTTTATTTGCCGTTTCTGTTTGCCCCGTATTTGATTAATCAGTTCCCATGTCTTCTTACTATTACCGTTTGTGTCTGCAAATTTTCCCATGAAATACTTAGTTTGAACATCTTTGCGATCTTTTTTAACCATCCTTCTATAATCCTTATAAGTTTTGTATCTAGAACGTTTTTCACAACATTTCAAGCATTGACATGTTCCACCTTTATAATCAGTTTCACCGAGTTTACATTTTTTCTTTCTAACTTTAGCCCAATTGTCATAGAGTTGGTGCTGATGCTTGATTTTGGCTATAAGCCCAGGTGTGATCCATGGGTTATTTTGTGTAGTTCTTTTGGAAGACTTAGGGGTTGCCAACTTACACGTTTTATCGATACTACTTTTGAAAACATCATGAAATACCGTGAAGTTGTCAATTACTTTATTCTCTAATTCATGTTCCAAGTCCTTTACAAAAGAGGTAACATTAGACTTACAGTAGTCGTAATATTGTTTATATTTTAGGTTACTCTTAGTGGATCCCATACTCTTTTCAAATATTTGAAAGACTGGTGAGTGGTGGGATATACGATCAGTAAGTGTGCCTGAGGCTATTATACTCTCTACATCGTTAGTTATAATATTGTCAATACACGATACTTTACAACCTGGCTTCTCATGAGTTGGCAGAGATATTAGGGGAAAAAATCCTCTACTGAACAGGACTTCCTCATAACGTTTTACAATCGCATTATCCTTATTATGTAGATCAATGTTGAAATCACCTGCCAGGTAACTGCATTTCGGCAAATTATCGAGAATTGCTGAGAGTTCTAATAATGCAACATTTACATCACCACTTGGAGGGCGATACACTACACCAACAGTGACCGGAGTATTCTTGCTGCTTATCGTAACAAATAGAGTTTCTAGGTTTTCAGATATATGGGACAAATTGCCATTTACTGTAGCACTGAGGGTATCACATACATAAAGAGCGACTCCAGTGCCTTTTCTTTTATCTTGCAAAGTGTTTTGGTAGAAACTATTGTATCCAGTCAGTTGGTAAAGGTCACTTAATTCGGGGCCTTCATTTGTTTCTGCTAAAGCAATGATCGAAAATTTCATATATCTCTGTAGTTCTATTGCCAGAGTATCAAAGTTAGATTTATTACCATCGATATTTTGAAATAATAATGATGAGTACTCGTTCATTTGGTTGCAAAATGTTTTATTAAATTCTTTAACACTATATGGGTTACAGTTATTGAGTAATCGGTTGATGTTTACAAGTGTTTCATCAATGTCAGTACTATTATTTTCAGAGTCAGTATCTTCATATATAAACGGATTGTAACGAGTACTTGCTAAGTGTACACAGTTAGGGCAGTAAAAATCTTCATATATTTTGTTTGTACTGGATTTAGTATAGCATTTATGGTGCATAGCACAGTCACACCTACAACATTCAGCAATGAATTGGCCAATGGAAATGAATTTTGTACAGACAGGGCATACCTCTTTGGTCAATTTATTCATGGGTACGGTACGTAACCTTCCCCATGTTGAGTCGCAGCAGCAGCAGGAGAGGAACCACCCATCGTCTGGGAGTATAAGCGATTGTCAACTTTATCCGATCTCTTCTTCCTTCTATCAGTCCCTCCATTCATCCTTAAAAGTATTGTATTACGTATAAGAACCCCCAGTTTTGCTGTACCACTCCAATTGAGGTGTAAATAGTCCGGTCTCTGGTTTCGTCCAATGTTCCTAGAGAATTGCTGGCTTAGGAGCCCAGCCTCATCACAGAACATGTCAAAACCAGGTACCAAAGTCACACCAAAGTTGGAATGGAGCAGCTCCTTAAAAATTAATTCATTATAATGTGCAACTTTACGATTTAGCTCAACGAGTTTGGTTGGCAGCAGCGGACACACAAATATATTTGCTTTGGGGTTAAGCGCTTGGATCATTTCTACTTTCTGAACAAATGGTTTAAAAACATTGTTCTTTATATCAGCGGTATTTTTGATCTCAGGTTTCCTGATATCATTTATACCACACATCAAGAGAACATTCCTGTATCCACATGAAACTGTAGGATTTATATCCCCCACTACCGGAGCAAAATACTGTTTTCCGGGGAGCCACTGCCCAAATGATTTTTTGGGGTCCAGCCCGAATTTGAGACCACCAGTATGCGAGTCTCCGATGATACATGTAGAGTTCCTGTTTCTAAAGCTAACTGAACGAAAAGTTAGGCTGTATCTCACCCCACCAGTTATTGCCCCATCCTCGATACAGTGGCTGTAGAACTCTTGGCTGCGTCGAGTCATGCGATACATGGATCTTGGCACACATGTATGGTCATGAGCCATATGATCCGTCTTCTTATCAAAGAATTTGATGTTGCACTGGCCTCCAATAGAAACAGTGAAAATTTCGGATTCAGGGTGGATGGTAGTTTCATCATCCGAGTGTTTCGGTAGGGAGCCATCCTCTTTGAAGCGATTGATCAGCAGGCTATTGATCTTCGGTTTTTCACCACTACAGAATGCACCATTGATTTTGTCCACTAGATTGGAGAAGCTAGTTGAAGCTAGTTGGCCATTGGATGACTTGGAGCCATTATACTTGTATGGTTCTCCCAAAGAATACACAGCACGAGCTCCCTCCACAACAAAATCCTCGTCAAGTGATTGGCAGGCAAGGAGGAGAGTTTCCTGCTCTTCTGTGGTAATAAACTCTTCTATAGCGCCTACAACTGGTTCTTCTTTTGATTGGAGATGCTCATTAGCTATTAGGTCTGGGCCAGGGGCAAGTGAAGAACTGGTAATTTGGACGTTTAAATGGTCAGAAGAAGCCAAAGAATTTCGCTCAAGAGTGTTCAAAGACTGTCTAATGGCTGTTAGCTCCTGATTCGTCTCCAGAGACTGCTTGGAATTTAGCTCCTGGAGATTCTTCTCTATTTTTTCCATGAGATCGTTGGTCTTGGAGGAAGATTGAGCACTTACTTGAGGAGTAGAAAAGTCCTGCAGTTGCTTGTTCAACACTTTAATCTGTTCTGTTAGGCCACTATCAGACTCAGAAACCTTTCCGAGTGAAGAGTCAACTGAAGTTTTCAGCTGCTTTAGATCTCCTTCCATCACTTCAACCCATGCTGGAGCAGTGCCCTTGTCACTTACCAGTAGGTGCTTGATATGGAGGTCAAGGTTCTGGATGGCAGCAATGCTGTCGTTTAGACTGTCAAAGTCAACCTTTGCAAGCTTTTCACCAAAAGCTGTGATGGTATTAAGCTTCTCTGTGGCAATAGCTGTCTCACACTGACTGTTAGATTTTTGAAGTGTCAGAGTGTTCCTACACACATAACACACATCTTCAGCAGTTTCGAATGTGGGGATTGGTGAAACCAAACAAAAAGGGCAGTGCCAATTGGTCATGCTGTTGACATTTTTCTGGTTGAGTCCATTCATAGTTAGACAGTCTATGTGCCAATATTGCTTGCACTTTACACAGTCAATCTTCCATGACGATATTGACTTACTACATGGACATTTCGTCTTGTCCCTGTGTGAACTGTCAAACTTTGGGGGTGTTACATCACTGTCTACAACAATAGTTTCACAAGATACATCCTTTCCCTTCGCCTCTGGTCCTGGAGTGTTGTTCTTGATTCGGGACTTTGCCTTTTTGTCCGCAGGGGAAGGAATCCGAGAGTTATTGGTGATAGATGAGGCTCTCTTGTTACTCTTGTTGTTGTCACCCATACTCAGCAAAAGTTAACACAAACAGCAAGCAAAAGTCAAAACAATCAGCTGTTAAAGCAACGTGTAAACTTACGACACCCTTTTGAGGGAATTACGACATACTTTCCCTGAACTCAATAAATGTAATAGATTTGTAGTGTTGTAATTAGTTTAAACTGACTTATACATTAAATTGAATTTTAAATAGAAATGTGAATATATTAAAATTTAAAACTTTCAAAACGGAGGCTTATAAATATTATTATATTATGATTGTAAAATAAAGGATAAAATTTTAAATTTGTTTCACTAAAATTTGTTTGTCGTATAATCATAAACAATTTAATCATGTTTTCAAGAATGCGCGGCTTTGGCGGCCAGTTACTGACTTATACATTAAATTGAATTTTAAATAGAAATGTGAATATATTAAAATTTAAAACTTTCAAAACGGAGGCTTATAAATATTATTATATTATGATTGTAAAATAAAGGATAAAATTTTAAATTTGTTTCACTAAAATTTGTTTCACTTAAGGACTGGTCTTATTTTATTTTTATTGGTTAATATTTTTATGTAATTTAAGTGTTAACAAATTAATTGTGTTACAAATTGTATACTATATGTTAATAGAATTCATAAATGTGTTCTGAGCCGTGCTGAGTTGCGCGCATCATTGATCATGAAAGGATCGACATCGCATAAAAATATCATAAACATAATCAATTAAACTGTTAATGCTCATTTTTGCAATTAGTAAGTTTTAAAGCTCAATATTGCAATAATTGCATTAATTTGATTTAAAATTTTATTCATTTTAAACAAAATTTTTAAAATTGTATTTTTAAAAATATTCGTATGCTTAAGATTTTACCGTAAATATAAATTTATTTTTTAGCACACAAAAAATTGAAGTGTTTGCCAATGCCATGACATCGTTGTAAAATTGATTAAGATCTTATTTAACGGCTTTGAAGATCTTAAATGAAGCCGCGCTATATCCGTGTTGTAGGTTTACAACCTACCAGGACGTGCGCCGAGTTGGACTCGTCGACGGTATATGGAACAGATATTTTACGAGTATCACCCGTTAATATCCGTGAACCTACAGTGACTTATATTTTATATTTTGTATCTCTTACTACGTAACGCGAAATTAAGTTGTATCACACTCCCGGTTTTGGACCCTAATGTTAACCTTGCAGCAACTGTGTCAGCCCAATATACTCTAGAAGTATGATCACACTTATCTTAATGAACAAAAGACCCATAATTAATATAATCAGATACTCGTCAACAGCAGCAGTTTCCTTACGTGTGATGTGTTGTCCTTCTCCTTTCTGTGTCCCCGTCGTTTTGTTTTGTGAAATGTATTGTAGTAGTGTTTTAATATTTAAATCGAACGCAACTCAATAGTTAATAATAACAAACACAAATACTATTTTAAATAATTGATTAATATCGATTTATATACGAACCAAACATTAATTAATCTTTAATAACCTTTTATATATGTGTTAAACGATCCAGGGCATATCTAAAATTCGATAATGAACTTCTTATATTATTAGTGCCGCGTGCTGATAAATATTCTGGGAATCAATCCACCCAATCGTGGCGATAACATATTTTTGTGCTTGGCCGGTTTTAGGTTTGAGTTTGGGCTCCAAAAGTGGTAAATCGGGTGCTAGTAAAGCTCTTGCAGGCAACTGGCTCCTTTTGCCAACTGCTTTTGGTTTAAGCGCTGACTCACATTTGGAACTGGCACTGGTATAATTGTAATATCCTACGAAGTCATCATGCTTTATTATTTTGCAAAACTCGTTTAATATCTTGACAATATTTAAAGTTTATGGTTTTAGGTTTAGGCGCGGCGCACGCACCGCTTATATGTTATAGCTCATTCAGCTTCTGTTTTCAGCGCTGTGTTGCTATGTGGGTCAAGCGCGGTGCCGCGCCTAAACAGCAAAAGAGTTATTTATTTTAAAATTTATTTTTGTATCTCAAAAATGATGTAAAGTTTTTAATATGACGAAGAATTAAAGCTATTTCCGTACAGCCTAAGTGCTAAGCATGCTCGTTAGAAAAACTATGAACAATGAACATAACATGCTAGCTTTCTTTATTTTGTAAGTCGCGTCGGCTGACATCTTGGGTTGTACTGGATGTAACAAGTTTATTATCGGATGTCTACTTATATTTATTATGATATCATTATTCATTGTAATGGCAATAAAATTTAAATTTTGTTTTACTTAAATTTTGTTTTACTTACTTGTATTGTTATATAAAAACGTACCCATAGCTCATCAATTAGCCGGGTAAACCACCTTTGGACAATCTCTATCTACTAAGAGCTAAATGATCCACCAATTTGATTCCCCAATTGAACACAATGTGGTCTTATTAATACGCTAATTGCAGAGGCGGCTCGTGGGAGCTGGCTGGCAGTTTTGTTGGGGGTTCAATCGATGGACTGGGTGGGGGAGGGGGGCTTGGGAGCCGGCTCAAGCTGATCCCTCCAAACTACCGATTACATTACACACAGGGCCTTGTTATATGTAATGTGTAACACTTTACAGGCGACAGCAAACAAAAACAAAAACTTATAACATGGTTGAAACAGGACACCACACGTGTACGATCTTAGCCGCGCAGTATCATAGCAGTCAATAGTTCAAACTGCAAAGGGTCCTGGACCCTCAAATCGAGGCAAATCATAATAGATTACCTGTAGTGGGATGCGCACGATGTGCTTTGTAACGTTTACAATTAACTATGTGTTAAAACTGCGCGGCTGAGTAGTCCAATGGTAGGGTTGGACTCCATACAACACAAAATTTCACGGAGATCATGCGTGCGCTTACATTAAAACGTATGATAGTGAATAAAGAGCTTTATATTGCGATTTGTTATTTCCTAACACTATTACTAATTACTATTTCTATTTTAAGCACCAGCCACCAGATAATAATTTTAGGGCGTCCACGGACGCCTGGACGCCCTCAATAGCCGCCTCTGGCCAATTGCATCACTTGATTTAATTTATTGTATATATACTGTTTGACATTTCTTCGGTCTTTTTAATACTTTGTAGTAGCAAGTAGGCTATCATCACAAATTCTCCCTTGTAAACAAATTGCTAACAATCCAACATAACATTTTGTTTACTACGGATACTGAAGCTTTAATCTGTTCACCCCACCGCACGAACTTATGGGTCGTAACCCCGAAGTCTTTTGTTGTGCAGATTCTTCTAGAATAACTCCACAAATAGAATAATTTGATTTTCGGGCTATCGTTAAAGTCTAAATGCATAACAGAACAGTTAGTAGGATTGAAACACAAAAGCCAATTACTTTCTCACATCTTGTTACTGATCAATCAATAAATATACATCTATACAGGGGGGAGGGGGAGGGCAAAAGTCGGTACCAAAACCGCAAACGTTGGCCTTTATAGCTCAGTCACTGAGTGCCCAATTGAAATAATTCTTTCTGGTATAACTTACTACCACCACTGGTTCGAGGAATTTGTCAAATCGAAAAATATTTGTGTTCATTTTTTTCAAATGAAGGTTCATTTTCGCATTTATTTGATAGTTTGGATAGTCGGATCGAGCCAAATGTTATCGAATGGTCATTTAAATTACTTTGTTTGTCCTGAAAAAATGAGAGTTCTAGCTTCTCAGATGACCGAGATATGACGCATAACAAGTTTGTTCATTAGGTGTGATCAGGTGATTAGGTTGAGGCTAGATCTGCATTATGGGAATCGTGCAGAGAGCCCAATTACGGTGTCGTAATTGGGTAATCATTGAGTACCCAATCAATTTTGATTTAACAAGATTAACAAATTGCTTGATAACTTCGTCATTTTAAATCTGTTTTGCGCCATCTTTTCAGATTATATTCCGGGTTAAATGACCTATTGCAATGTGTTACAACCGAGTCTCTAACATGTTCACAAACACGAGTATAAGCAATTCTATGTTGATTGGGTGTTGCCCCCAAAAATCAAATTTTCAAATTTTGGTGATGGAATCCTCGAACAAGTAGGTACATCCATCTGCAAATCAACAACTCTCAAATATAAAACACGGCGTGGTATAAGACCCAACGTATGGGTACTGACTTTTGGCCTCCCCTGTATAATATCAAACATTTGTTTTATTATAGTACTAGAAAGCCCGTGGTCATAGGGAGAAAAGTAATAGTATTCTTTGGTACCAATTGAAGTCAGTTGTTATCGCATCAAAAACTACCCGTTGCAACTGAAGATACAGCCGATTAAAATGTAGCCCGCAATAAATACAACGTAATTACTACTAAGTCAATCAAAATATCGCTCGCAAATATTTACATGTGCGCATTTCAACACCTTTACTATGGTTACTACACAACTTGTATTTGTTTACTTAATTTGCTCGTGGGTAAGAGTAGGAATTTAGTTGCTTGCTTCAAACATTGTTCTGAAGCCAATGAGCTTTATTTATTAAATGAAAGAAGTTTAAGTATCATGTTGAAAATGTGAAGTTATATTTAAAATACTAATTGTACTGTCTGGAAGGAGATGCGCCTCCTGTTGGCCTCCTGTTGGTGCCCCCTCCCCTTTTGGCAACCCTCCCTAAAATTGATCAAATTAGGTGATTTTAGAGGATACGCCGGTAAAATCTCTAAAAAAGTGTGTTTCTAGAGCAAAACGTGCAGTTTTGCTAGTACCTCAGTTAAGTTTTACAAGATTGTCCCACATTCAAACGACAATTTTGCGCCCCCCTAAGATGGCCCCCCCCCCCCCCCCCCCCCCCCCCCCCCCGCACAGCAGGGTCAGCGGGGCCCTTCGTTACGCCACTGAGATAGTGCCTTTTTTGTGTTGGTCTCGAGTAACTGTCAATCTTACAGGTATGGCGGCACTGCTTGCATGTGTCATAGTGTTGATGATGGTTTCTGGAACTATCCAGGAGCAGTGTTTTGACACCATGTGTTGGTCACATGATCACTCCAGAAATATCTCATGTGATCAGCACTTTTACCATTGCCAATTGGACGTATCTGGGAACCCTAAATGTGTGACAGGCTCTGTTGAGTTTGGTGTTAAGTGCAATACAACCAACAAGTATTACCATTGTGCTTGTCAGCAAGATAACTATGGTCAAGCCTATTGTGACTGCATGGGTGCATTGGTATTTTGGTCTGTGGTTGGTGTTGTAAGTTCTTTGTTCTTGATAGTGCAGCTGTGGTTGGCATGTTACTTTTGTAAAGTAAAGTGTTCAACCAGTCATTCCACGACTAACCAGACAGCTGCTGCTGAACAACCAAATTACGGTGGTACAAGAGATGGCCTATATATAGCTGGAGGGGTGAGTGTCTTCCCTACTGACATAGATACACTACTTCCCTCAGAGCCAGGAGACAGCAACTTCCCAGCTAACGCACCTCCGCCTTCATACAGCCAGGTCACTGCTCCTGTATTCTACAACCCTCCTGTTAACCCACACTACAATCAGCTTACCTAAAAACGAATTTTGTCATTTTGGAAATGGAAAATGCTGTCAAAAGAATATTATGTGCATTATGACAATGTGATTTCAGAAATTTGATTTTTTACTTTTTAATTCACTTACATACAGTTTGTTTTTAAATGTGTCTGCTTTTTACGGATACAGTTTACACCAGGCTAGCCTATATTTGAACCATTCTAGTTTTCTTGTCTGATATAATGTATGTAATTGTAGTGAACATTCTAATACCCTGATTTACTATGCCCAGATTTACAGCAAACCACAATTCACCGCTTCTGTTTGCCTTCCCATAAACTCGATGGTAAATCAGGGTTTCACTGTATCATGAGATTATGAAATTAACTTTAACATCAAAAATCAGAATTTTTAAAAGTCTGCATTCTAGGATCACCATAATTGGTTTTGAAGGAATCCTAAAGTCAATCATATGACCCTTTAACCATGTTTGTAATTTAAAATGTATTGATTTACCGTATTTTTAAGCCTTATTTTTACATAATTCAGAACAATTTTTAAAATTAAATTTGTGTAATTGACATGTGTAATGTTACGAAATCATTTTAGATCTTTTAATACTGTTTATAAATATGATATTTCAAAATGTAAAAATGTAAGAGATTCTGATTGTAAAAAAAGATTTTGTACAATTCCAGTTGATTCTCATCTCATTCTGCCTCTCTAAAAGTAAAGTACCCTCCCTGTAGCACGCTATCAATTTAATTAGCTATTGAGAGTACACATTTCCCAGACTTCCACAAGTGTAAACAATATAATCATAGAAAATCACGTATTGAATGTGGCCTCAATTATAGAATCACATGGTAAGCATTATAATTAGCCTTATAATTTTAATTTTGCCAATGAGAATTTACTTTTGAATATCTTGACATCTGAATTGTTGTTATCTAGAAAAAGTGCCATTAGTTATCAATTCATTAGACATTGTTAGTGATGTATGGAAGGTGAAAAGAAACGCAGTGTTGACAGTGAAACTTCCGGAAAAGAACGGAAGAAAGTGAAAATCTCTGAGGAGGATAAACAGGAATCCAGTTCTGTTGATAAGAGTTTAATTTCTGAGGAAACACCCAATAACAAGGTACTTCTTACAAAATGCTATTCATTGTTACATATTACAGTGAATCATGGTCGCCCCGCTTATTTGCCATAATTATACATCTTAAATTATTTGCCATAATTATTCATCTCCTTGCAGTGTGACTTAAGACTCAAATGCTCTGTTAACCATTCAAAGTTGCTTTAAAGTTTCATGATTTCAGAACAAACGAACGATGGGAAGCCACTCGAATGGGAACACCGTAGCTACCCTTGACATGTGCGAGTTCTGTTTTGACGTTCTCATGGCTCATTTCTTCAAGAAGTTCGATAAACCTTCTCCTACATTTACTAATGATAGCTAGTGAGTTTTCGCGGCAAATTATTAATATCTTTCTGTGTAAATTAACTCAGTGTGAATTAAGTAGAGATGGTGGATGGACTGTACAGTATACAGTAAATGGGGAGGTATTATCATTTAATTGATTTTTCATTCCATTTTAACTGATTGACGTTACGTAAAGCACTTACCACGCGACTTGTTTGTGAAACGATTGTCAAGAACTGACAAAGGATCTTACTGCTGAGTGCTAATGTTCAATGTGTAAGATAATTGATTATTACCTCGGTACGTTCATTGACGTATGATACTGATTACCGAATGTTATTATCATTATAGTAACTACCTAGGTATCAATAGTATCTAGTATCAAATGTTACTGAACCTTCGGTGTAGAACTTATATCCGTGACATTACTAACAATACCGATAAATGTCTAAGTTATAACTGGTATCAATTAGAATAACTAGAAGAATTATATCATAATAATATAACTTGTGCTCTGAAAGCCATTTTCATCTCAAGATAAAACTGCATTTAAAGTTCGGTTACTACGTCGCGTCGCAGAGTTACCTTCTTACTTCAGGTCTTACATTCCCTACATTCCACGGTAGTTCCTGTCTCGGATAATGTGTTCTTAAACTCCTAGATGCAGTCCAGATTATGTATTACGTACAATAAATTCTGTAAATATATTATATGATAAATATCTCTTATAATAGCAATTGATGAATTCTTTCTTGGGTAAATACCTACTAAATACCTACCTTACTCGGGAATATTATGACTGGGATAAAGTGGTGGGTTTTGGAAAATTCCGCCATATTTTTCCCGGTCATTAATTTTCCCAGTCATAAATTAACCCGCTATAATATTCCCGAGTAAGGTATTTATAATCATTACTAGGTATTTAGTATTTCATTATATTAAGATGCAGTGAAACTATCGGACTACGATTAATGGTAACTTGCCACCCCATGGCAACATTAAAATATATTGACCCTGTTACATCGTTGCCTGTTAATATAGTAATATAAAACTCCGTTACAAATTGAAATGCGATCTGGCAATACTACATCTCAGATCAATAAAATGTGATAAAGTAATGTATAACTAGACTCATGTATAAATTGTTACAACCTATTTATACCTAATCTAAAACACTAATAATGGGGATGTTATTACTTCCTTCTTCCTTCTTGATGCTTACACTCCTTCTAGTTGTCTCCTTTTTCTTCTCTCCAATACACTTACACTACAATAATAAAAACACCTGAAATACGATTCATAAGAAATACAATTAGTATGAATCATCTGTAACATAAGAAATAAATAAACCTACAACTATCATGAAACTATATAAGAGATAAAACCTAGACTAGGGATTTATTGGTGTTCCCTGAATTATCCACAGAGGTCCTGTACACCTTCCTACTAGACTCCGAGACACCTACTCCCGGGAAGTTCTTCTCTCGCTGGATCTCAGTCCTAGTCTCTCTTCATCACTTCTTCTCTCTTTACTGCTTTACATAAGCTATAATATATATTATATCATATATGACAATTAATCAACTATATGACAATCATATAATCTCATAACTCATATATTATAACATAAATGTCTATATAAAAGCGTGACAGTATAATACATGTACTTATAATGTGTTTTGTATCTCTGCTTTTGTGGCCTTTTGAATCAGTAGAATTGTAATTTAGAATTATAACTAAAATTGTAGATCATACAATGCAATAATTGTGTCAGATAAATAAGAACTTTAGGTTCCAAAATTTGGACCAAAAAGTGGTAACAAAATCGCAGCTGTGACACCAAACAGGTTTAGCTCCGTTTTGTTAGAACACCACTGTAACGTATTGAAGATTTGAGTACGTGTTATGATAAGTATTCGAGTACGTACTTGACTGTATAGCTAACCCACTCACAGGTTCCACAATACGTACCGTGATCCATACGGCGTACTCGACTTGTCAAACAGCTTTGATTTGGTACTCTGTTCGAATCTCAGAAGTCAGAACAGTTTGTAAGAATCCCTTCTTTAGCTAGGGTCAATGCTCGGCACACTTTTAAGACACATTGTTGTCCCATTTGTGTAAAATGCCAGGTTTAAAACAAACTGACCCCATTTTCTTACAGTCCACTGTTCGTGACGTGGAAGATTGGTAACAAGATGAGTTTACGTGGGTGCATTGGTACCTTCACCTCTCTTAGCCTACACAAGGGTATCAAGGAGTACGCTCTTACCAGGTTTGTATCTTGTAACCGTTGTTATGTGCTAATTAATTATGTGCTAATTAATTATGTGCTAATTAATTAGTTGCTAATTAATTAGTTGCTTCTTAATTAGTTGCTAATTAATTAGTTTCTAATTATTTAGTTGATAATAATTTGATGTTTTTTTTCTGGTTCTTATTCTGATGGTAATACCAGTATAATGGAATTGTTGAAAATGAAAACATTTTTAACGTTTTCAATACATCGGTAAATTTCCATGGATTTAAGAAAATATACTTAATATGGATATGTGCTTATATGCATTATGCAGTTGCGAAAATTATCGCAACTATAAACATAAATACATTTAAACAATAACAATGTAATTCAGTATAATATTTTATATCCGTAGTATGTGGTATTTTCTCTTTCCAACGTGGATTGCACGAGATGTTACCCGATCATAATATTATGATATATTATATAAGGTTTCGTTTTTTCTCTAGTGAGATCTTGTGCAATGGTTGATCGCCTCACTTCTGTCAGCCTCACAAATTGACGAGTATTCAATAGTCACACACCTACTCAGTACTCATTTACACAGATCAGCCCTGCTAAATGCTAATTTACACAGATCAGCCCTGCTAAATGCTAATTTACACAGATCAGCCCTGCTAAATGCTAATTTCAAATCATTGTTCACATCCCACTACGTGAAGTGGAGGGGCTGGAAATGCTAGTGTGATTTCTACACAATAGCTGTGTGTTAGTGTGTATAGTGTCTAACTGAAGGGGAGGAAGTCTGAATGGCCTAAATCTTTAATATGTGAACAATGAACAAAGCAATAGCCGATATTTAGCGCTCATCTAGATCAGCTGGTCTGCTTAGAGTCGTCACGTGACACAAATAACCACCTAGCCTCTTTTTATTGTTTGCGGTTATTTTCTTAATCTTAAATTCAAAAATGACGTACAAAATTTGAAGCTTATCGGTAAAATTACAGAACCGAAATTTGGTTTGATTGATAAAATTTGGTTGGTTTGTTTTCTCTTTTGGGATAACCAATTTTATCTGATCCGATGTATCATATTTCTAGTTGTCACGTCAATGTTTAATTTAATTTTTTAAATAAAAATAACTTACCGAGCCAAGGACTAACGCCCACGAGATTCTGAATAGATACTGTTACTGTCATACTGTAATAGATCCTGTTACTGTCATACTGTAATAGATACTGTTACTGTCATGTACTGTAATAGATCCTGTTACTGTCATACTGTAATAGATCTTGTTACGACGGCAATCTGGGCAGACTTACTGCGTTACTTAATGAAGACCTACGTAGGCTATTGATGTGTAAAATAAATACATAAATAAAACCGTAAGCCATAAAAAGTATAGTATGTTAAAATAGATATTTATCATTTTATAATTACAGTTTAAACCGTAGATTTTCAAATGATCAATTGATCTGTTCTTTTATCTTGTGATCTTGTGTAGCAGGTAGTACAACTTCTCTTATACGAGTCACAAATCGCTCAAGTCACAAAAGACACGTACACCGTAACACACAATTATAAGTACACAAAGTTGTAAGAGTAGTAGTTGCTGAAGCTTGATTTAACACAAAATGTATCATGAAATGTAATGTTACGTTAGTTTGCATATCATAAAATGTAAAATAATATTACGTTAGTTTGTATGACGTAACGAACTGAGATATGCAGTGTAAAAACTCGCAATACGCAATACACTGCACTGTAACGTTAATATCCGCTAATATGACGCTATACACATAATAATCTAGTAAAACTTTTATTGAATGTCCAATATTTTAAAAGGTTGCGTAACGTAACACTCAGTATTTCAGTGCCATGAACGACAGCAGGTTTAACCCTGTCTCAAAACACGAGATATCCCAACTGTCAGTTAGCGTCAGTTTACTTGTCGGTTTTGAGGATGGAACTGATTATCTCGATTGGACCGTGAGTTTATTTGTATTCTATTGTTTTTATTTTATGTGTTATTTTTGTTTCGTGGTAATTTTTTTTTCAATTGAGTTTAAAACCCAATCTCTGAATTTGAAATTAATTTGATGCCTCTATAGTCTATAATACGGACCTATAACTATAAATTTAAGGCTATTCTATGTATTTTATATTCCTCTTGAGACTCATTAGTGGCGTCTGATTATCTCAGTAGTATTTATTTCATGTAAGACTGTCCGTTATACGAGTTCTTTAATCATAACTTGCAACGACTGTAGTTAAACCTGAAGTTGGTTATGTAAATTAAAACACGGGCAATATTATATAAGCTTTGTGTGATATGTTAGCTGCAATGTTAAAGTTTCTTGCTATGGAAATAGGAAGTACACATGTTGTAAGTTAGTTCTATTTATATTATAGTATGAGTTATTCATGTCTCAGGAACTCACTTTCTTGTGCTACATTAAGACTTTATGTCATGGGAATACACTAGTAAGTGGTTTGAGGTAGCCTCAGTGGTAAATACTAAATAGTGTGCATTAGTTATTCGTACTGTGTGCGTGGCTTTCTACCTTACTTTATACCTTACTCTAATTCTATATCGTTAGTCACAAACATCATCAGACGTTGGTATTTGGAACTGTAGTACTGTAGTACGTTATATATTATATACCATATCCAACTGTAGTGAGTGATATATCGTATTCATTATGTATTGGATTTCCGTGTTGAGCACGCAATTTACGATTATTTAGATTTAATTCATGTTCTGGTATGAACGGTCGAATGAAGAGCTTGAGTTGACACTTATCTCTGCTTAAGGTAGCTTGAACAAATTACCCAGATGTTAAGCTTATGAGTAGTAACTATTGAGGAATGTAATTAACTTTAACAACTTACCCATCACATGTTTTCTGTATGAACTATGAGATTTCTATAACTCCGCTATAAATAGTCATGGGAAGTACCCTGCGCAGATGGTAGAAAGCGAAAGTGTACACGTGCACATAAGCATTTAGCATATTGCTTACGTTTTCTCGCCTCATAATTCAAATCACATGTTGCATTTCGTTTATCTTATCTATGATGTATACGTCATACTGTACCTGTTTTTATTAATTTCCCTACAATGTAACTATGAGACACTAGAAATGTGGGATTATTTGTTACACGACGTTGTATACCTCTCTCGTGCGAAGCGTACACTCCGGCCTGCGAGAGAGCCCTTTAGCTGTACCGCCGCGCGCTTCGCGCGCGATCAAAAGGGGTTGCAGCGTGCGTCAAGGGATTATAGCGGATCTATCGCCAACTCTTTTCTTGACAGGATCTTATTTCCGATGCATGTAACCTGGCACAGCCAGTAAACTTCTATCGATGAACATATTTGCTCGTTTTCATTTACTGAATCAAAGGAACTAATTTTTGCACTATTTTGCATCTGAAATAGTGTGGCATTCTCTTATTATTCTTGTCTAGAACATCATCTACTGGTTTTTATTCAAGGACTGGACGGAACGCGCGCTAGAGTAATACGCAACCACGCGCAAACAAATTTTGCTTGTGTAGAAATAAGGAAATTTAATGATTTCCATCCTGTTCAATTCATTGTACGTGACTGCACACCAATAATTTCTCCAATCTGCCCATTCTTTGATGGAGCCATGTGCAATATGAACAGTTCATAAGATCTCCGTGAAGACAGTCTCATGCTTATTTCCCCCCGGAAATCGTATTGTTCTAAAGATCCTCCCAGTCTTTCTGTCCTCCGATTTTGTGCCGAACACTTTGTACAAATGAGAGTGAATACGGATGCACTAAGACAGTTGGCACACTTCCCAATTGCAAACACGCGTGCTTCTATAGATAGTCTACTAAAAGACTGTAGCTCTGTATTATGAAGTATTTTGCAGTAAAACTATTAAATAATAGTCTGACATATATCTTTCTAAACTGTTTGTTAATTAACGTCAGTCACCTTGGCTTAGAGCCACACGTAGTACGCACTAACGCACAGCACATTAGACTATACGACATACATTTAATGGTGACCCCAGAATATGTGTCTCCGTTAAATTTAAATAACTTCCATTTATTTCTAATTCTCCTCGCTAAATACATCTTACTAAATTCATCTCTCCTAAAGGTCGGTGTTCACGGTATCAAGATAGAGTTTCTGTACGGACGGTCCACAAAGACCGCTACTTTCCTCCCTGACGTTGCTAAAGAACAAGGTAATCTGCAGAGTAATAACAGAATAGTTATATTATATCGGTCCAGTTTATACCTCCTTTATAACCCAAACTTGTAAACATTTCTGGGAATCATTGCTACAATTTAATACCTCGTATAAACAATCCTAAAGTTTATAATATTTAACTTGTGTTTATGTGTAGGGTGGACAAAGGAGGAGACAGTAGAATCTTTGCTTAAGAAAGCTGGAGTAAGAAGTCAGATGACCCAAGCTCTCAAGGACTCTATCAAGCTTATCCGATACAGAAGTGAAAAGGTTGAGATGGACTTCGAGGTGAGTTTTTTTTGTTTTGTTTATGTGTCCAATCTCCTGCTTTAATCATTTTAACCTTTTCTTTTTATAAGTTTATTAATTACTACTCATCCATACATCATGTTTATGTTTTTCACCGTTTCTCAATCTAGGAGTACCTGACAAGAAGACAGAACGTTCCAGAATTACTGAATGGCTGTTACGTTCCACTCACTAACGGGCAGTCTAGTTCAAAATACAGTAACGGTTATCGGCAATAGCCCGACCAGTGCTGAGTAGGTTAAATCTGGGACAAAACCACTGAGTGGACAAAAGAGCTGGTTAACTGAATTTTTTGAAGAGTTTTTAACCGAATTTTCAGTTTTCTTCTAACTTTCATTGCCGTGTGATCAAAATTATAACGCATTTATGTCAATTTAAGATAAAACTTCGGTTAGCTTAAGCTCTGATATATAACATGTATGATATTTTAATTTACTTTAGTATGATATTGTGGCGTGGGTCTTGAAAATTATTTATTGCATTATTTCTCTAGAATGCCTTCTTAACTTACATGTCGAACTCATATTTAATGTAATTAGTAATAGTTGTAGACTTTTCAAGGTTTCTTAATGGTTTTAGCAATATCTTCTATATCATATGTTCAGTGTTATGTTGCAAATGTGAGGGCTGTATCCATAATTTAATTCACTACTTAGAACGAACGTGTAATCAATGTAGTAGAAGTAAGTATAAAATTCGTCAATTCAAATCTGGATTATCTCTTTAAACAGCCATTGCAAACAAGGTTTTTATCAAGACATACATTTTCGGCCACTCTTAACGGCACATGTGCACAAATATCTATCAGATTCAAGTCACCAAGTAATAAATTTAAAATTATCTGAGAATGCGAAATTCTATTTAATTTGAAATTGTGAAATGATGAGGCTGTTTTGAGTGTTTATTTGTGCTTAAATGAGTGCTATGTACTTTTTTCCACTATTGCTGAGAGAATTGCCCTCTGACACCTGACATGTATTTGTTCGGTAATACCACGCTAACTGTCGACTTTATGAGTCGTTAAAGAGCTGTTAGATTTGAAATAAAAGTTATACTGCGCGTCAATATATAAAGTTGCTTAAATTATTGAGTTGGGAGAACTTTGTAGAAAATTGAAATAATACTGTTTTTTGAAATTCTTTAGATAAATGATGATTTATTTGGATAGGGGATTAACTGTGTTGGCAAAATAGCTGGCTAAACCCTTAATATGTATAATGTCACGCAACGACTAATACTGTATATTTACACTCCAATAAAACAAAAATGCTCTCTGCAAAATACTAAAATAGTTTCTCGGATTTTGCTGATCTATTCATTGTGATAATTAAGATAGCTTTTCTGAATACGTCTGTAAAGACACTATTACAGTTGTTAAAATATCTTCGGTGTAAAAGTAGATTCTGGTTCTTCTTAAATTATAAAATATTGATATTTTTCACTATAGATCAATTCATTCGTAATTATGATATGATACTTCTGAAGTAATACAGATTTTGAATTGTTTCCGTCAATATTTAGAGAGCAGTATGGCTGGATTGGAAAAGCAACCGGAGCTTTTAACCAACTCAACAACATTTGGAAGAATAAGAACATAAGCATTAACAACAAAGTGCGAATCTACATTGCAGCTGTTCTTACCATTCTGACCTATGGATGTGAGATATGGAACACGACTCAAGTGCAGACAAGAAGATTGGAGTCTTTCCATCAGTACTGCTTAAGAAGAATCCTGAGAGTGAGGTGGTTCCATCGAGTAAGTAATGAGGATGTTTTAAGAAGGGCATCAATAACTGCCCTTGCTGACATAATAACAACAAAACGGCTGCGTTGGTTTGGACATGTCAGTAGAATGCCTGAAGATCGGTTACCCAATTATTTACTTGAATGGAAACCCAAGCATGGGAAGAGATCAAGAGGCAGGCCTAGGAAGAGCTTAAATGATGTATTCATTGAGGATGCTGAGCAGAGATTGGATCGTAATGGACTCACGATTGATTGTATGAGAAGATTAGCTGCAGACCGAAAGGGATGGAGAAATGTTACCTGCCGAAGTTGTATAATACAAAGTAATGACGCAGTCGACGCAGACTAATCCTTTTGGATGGAGATCTCGCCATGTAACATGTATGTATGTAGTATGGCTACAAAGTTGATTTTAGTTCAACAGGTTCACCTACCTTTGTAGCGATGAGATTTTGCATGATCTTGAATTAGTGCAGGTTTATACTCAATAAATATTATAGACTCATAAAACCCCGCTGGCTGGGTTGTGGGTACCAAAAATTGGGTAAATCCGGTCGAATAGATGAGACCTCCAGGCTCCAGTGACCAGCATGCATGTAAACAGACGTTTCTGCAAAATAGTGAACATGTTGTCATGACAACGCGCCGCAATTTCAACATATATTCAAGCGCGTGTTCCATAATTCGGTGAACGAATATCGTCAAATCTCCGTCCACGACTCAACATGTTCTGTCCCACATTTCAGATCTTCTGAAAGCGTCCTTGCCGGATTTGACTTGGATATCTACCATGCCATTAAAAATATAAATGAATATCTTCTATCACAAAATTAAAGTATTATTATTACAATCATCATGGACACAAGCAAGGAAGGTCATTTCACGAGGAAATTTTCATTATTAGTTGATTTGGATTAATCAGATTTTCACAAAACCTTAAATCGTGATTCTGTGAACAAAACTTGAGATTATTTGCACGATAGCTCGTCACACATGTGCTTAAAAGCTTAAACAGTCCAGTTTGCATTGCAGTGACATACAACTCATCAGTCATAATCCGATAAAATGTTCTGATATTGCCGAAGTCCGAACAGCTTTTGTCGATATTCCTTCATTTCCCAGTTTGTGGTGTCATCTACTGTTCAACCTCTTCCTCTTCTGGCTCAGCGTCAGGTGTCTTCTTGCTCTATGATATGACAATCATTAAATTTTTGATGAAGTAATAATATCCATAATTGCGTCTTGATATAGTTTTTAAATTGCTATAATTAGATCTAAACCAATCTTTACAATTCACAGCTATAATAGCTGTTATAATAGCACTTTAAACAAGGTTAGCTTCAATTTAAAGTAGAATATGGTGTCCTTACCCCATAGTAAAGTTTACAGAAGTCTTTGCTAGAAAGGTCCTCGTCTCTGATGGCCATTCTAATCTTGTAACCCCTCCAGCCGCTTTGTATCACTGTAGCTGCGGCTTGCTGAAATATCATCTATTTATTTGGAGGGAGATTCTAGAGACAGGTTTGATGCTGTTTCAGAAGCTTTTAGATTAGTCATTGTGTGATTTGGATCATTTTCAAAAATTTAGAATCTATAGTGTTCATTTGTTTTGCACAAATGCTGAAAATGTGCGGTCTTCGATAATCGCATGCGTTAAAATCCCTTTGTATCAGAATGAAATGCTGAAAATGTGCAGTGTTCAATAATATCATCTCCTGTGGAAATCTCACGAGGCTCAAATCTAAGTAATCACAGTATCACAGGTGGAGGTAAGCAAATCTCAACTTCCGTCTGATTAGTTAACGACTTTATCAGGTGACTGACTAGAGACAGATACTCCTCCATAAAACTGTTTGATTCAGTCTAGGACACGGATCTTGTTTCCACCAAAATACCGAAGATTAGAAGGAAAGCAAATTTTGTTTTCGACAAAAAAAAAAGTTAAAAAAGTTATTCTCTCGTCCCAGTGTAAAGGTGACCAGAATACCTGGGCCCCTTTGGCAAACTTCCTGAACTCAGGCAGCTTGAACGACTAAATTTGAAAAGTAAAACTTCTTGTCTAAATGAACTATTAGAACCTCAAGAAGCTGATCCGCATGTCTCCGCTACTAAAATGTTTAATGAGCCCAATCACTCATCACTTAACGTAGTTTAATCTTCAAAGTGAGTTGTACAATCTAGGTTGTTTTAAGTAGCTGTTGATAGTGTAAAACAGGAGTGACCTGATCGTTTTCATAACTTCGCTTTACAATTTGTACCATAATAAAACTAGCACTGCCATGGGGTTCAAAAAGGGTCATTGTAAGCCTCCAGCGTAATGGTCCTAAGTCTCTGCCCCATGCGGTGCCTGTCAGCATCAGCTAACAGAATAGCCCTAACATAACGATCAAGTCACAAATTAGGTCCCTATAATGATTCATTATTGTTGAATAAAGAGATTTGAATATAATATTTGTTTTATTCTGAATATTTGTTTTACTCTGACCTCTCCTGACATACCCTATGGTCTTCTTTCTAAGTTCTAAAATCACCTTTAATTAACTCTAACCTAGGAACCCATGCCGGACCGAGTATTTGTAGAGTCACATAGCCTGGCACCCGGATAAGAGTTTGCAATTAAATATGTGCAAACACAGCACACTTTGTCGATATTCCTTGCACTCACGCACCCACCGAAATTAAGAAAATTGCGTTCAAAAGCTATAAGCTACCACACAAAAAAGAACCCAAACTTGCTGAAATGTCAAATCTGTTTAATAAGGAGCCCTTCTCCAAACTATTATTAGGAATACCTTCAATTCCGATAGATTACAAAGATTGATGTGAGTGTTCTCACCTTTCTCCTGACTTTGTCCCTAAAACCCTGGACTCGAGGTAGTTGTCTGGCCATGTAGCCTCGCACACCAGCCTGGATCAGAGTTGCTGCATCGTTCTTTGTAAGACGCAGGTGTAGTGGCAGTGGAGGTTGTGGCCTGTGGTGGACATTGTGGAGGACAATAGGATGGATTGTTTTTATATCAAGGTTCATTATTGTGAGCTCCATGTTTCAGATCAAAACAGGTTCTGAATGTATAACGTCAGCTGTAAAGCTCTGAAAAACTGTCTATCAAATCAGTCTACAAACAACTGAAACAAATAAGTAACAAATAAATAACATACCTTTTAGCGAGTATTTTCTGTACGAAAGGAATGTCAAGAAGCTCCATATCTTGTCTCTGAGCCTTGTACCGGGGGTTGTTACGGTACAGGAATTCGACCATCCAGTTTATCGAGTTTAATTTTTCCCTCTGGGTCAATTATGTTAACATGTTATTAGTACACTGCATAAACAAATCAAGTGATATCAGAAATTATAAAATTTGTTGTTCACATTTCAAATACCATGTTGAAGGAGCAAAATACAAAAACTTTAGAATGAACAATTTTGACTAACCTCATACTCTTTATCATTCTTTACTATTTGCAGAAGCTCGTTAATGCATGGCATCACAGTTGGAAGCAGCTCTTCTTTTAGCACCTCGATAGGTTTTACTGCAATGTTCAAATATTCTTTATAGTATTAATACAAAACATGTATATTTAAGCAAAATATCAAAATATGCAAATTAACTTTTGGATAAAAATGAGAAGGTTCAAAGTAATTACAAAGCCACACAACAGAAAAAATTAAAGTATATAATACTAGTGTAACCCGTGCCTACGGCCGGGACATCACTATCGCAGTTGAAATGCAAAAGTATAAACCCGTCTATTATATTCGAAAACACACATTGCATTTTTGTTGAAACGGTGCGAAAGTATGAACTCGCTCTGTCCAAACACACCACAATTAGTAATACTTGATAGCCAATCTTAATAAGGTCCACTGCCAAATTACATAATTATATCGCAAATCTGTTATGGGGGGGAGAGAGCGAGAATGGGAGAGTACGTGAGACACTTTAGTAATTAGTATCACATTTGGGTAAAAAAATGATCAATTAAACCACTTACCACCGGCCGATTTAAAAAACCTTAATCATTTGGCTTGGTCAGAGTTTTGTCGGTACTATACCGAAAAAACCAGCCCCGTAACTCTTACCGTTTTCTTGATTAAGCCGTTCGGAAATTTCAAATTATACACGAACGAACGAACGAACGAACACACATCTTGAGATTATTAGTATAGATATGTATTATCTTACGGTGTCTTTTTGGAGTGGGACTGTCAGGATCATATTCATGATCTTCCTCAAATACTGTGTTTGGATCAATCCTGAAAAACATTTGTTATGGCAACAAAACAAAGAAACGACGGAGAGGAAATTGTCTCACACTTCCTTGGACAGTGTCCGGCTATTGCCCAAATTAGAGGTCAATATTTCCAGGACTACTACCTCTCTGTCAATGACATATTCGACAACCAACACATCACCACGATTGTCAATTTCGCAAACCGCACCAAACGCTTGATTGCGCCGGAAGAGCTGGATCAGACCGGGGTGACTTAAAGTATTATCTCATATGCTGTCTCGTCTCGTTTTACTGTTCCAAACCCAGCTGGCACTTAAGCGTATCATTTTGACTCATGTCACTTTTTACACTATCCTCCACCATTCACTCTGATTTCATCATACCCCAGAGGTAGGCAGAGCATCTCAATGCTATCCTCTCGTGGGCTATCTTGGCCCAGCCTCTCTTAAAAAAACAAAAAAAAAACGAAGAAACTAGGGAGATCGTTTTTTCGGTACTGGTGTCAGCCTATTTTATATACTATTATCTAACGACATCCCCCTTTAGGTTATTCTATGTAATACAGTTCATTGTAAGTTGTTCCTCATTCATTACCTGGTTTCATTGAATAAGTACAACTACAAGAACCTCACATAATAACCTCAAATTATTTTGTAACATCTATCCTACAGAAGTGTTGAGATATGGCACCAGTCAACGTTATTCCAGCGCTGATGCCGGGTCAGTCTATTCAAGATTGGGGAAGACTGTTTAAGCGAGCAACGGCACTATTTGCATCAGAGAAACAGAAAATTGACTCTCTTCCGGTTTACGTTTGCAGAAATGAAGGAGAAGTGGAGATCGCATTACTGGTTGTAGAAGAAAATACTGATGATGATCTAGATAAAGCACTCAAAAGGTTGAGCGAGCTTGTGGATGGTAAACCATCACGGGTTCTAGCAGCTCAAAAATTCTTTGATTGTCCTGTTACTGGGGAGCTCAAGACTACATTCTTCATCTTGAAGAAATTAGGGAAAGAAGCAGTATTTTCAAATGATGTTGTACTGCTGAGATTCTTAAGTCTCATACCCTCAGGAGTTAAGTTTCATGAAGATAACAAGGCAAAGATAAAAGCGGATATGACGGATGCGGAATTACTGGAAATGTTTGCGTTGCTACAGCCACAACTAGACAAAGCCCAAAACCATACTAAGCAGGAGTTGCAAATTAACATAAAGCAAGAGAAAGAGGACGGTTTCGTCTTCGCAGCAGATTTGGAAGAGAATCAGAGACCCACAGACTACACCGGAGAGTTAGATGCCTTGAAAGGTGAATTGGACTCCATTAAGCACTACCTGTTAGACCAGCATGAAGAGAACTGGACAGAGGAAAGAGAATGGGATGAAACTGAAGAGGTGTATTATGGAACAGAGAACAGGCAAAGAAGCACAAAAAGATGCTATACATGTGACAGGCAAGGTCACATTGCCACTCAATGTTTTAAACGTAAATGCAAGGCATGTGGTAAGCTGGGTCACAGTACTCATGAATGTGAGAAGAAGAAGTCAGGAGGATACTCAGGAGGATACTCAGGATCAGGAGGATACTCGAGAGGATCCTCAAGCTCAATGGGACACCCAGAGGGGCAGTCTAGAGGAAACAAACAACGTCCGCAGCAGAAAGACAATGGGAGAAGAGCAAACTTATGACTAGACGGACAGATTCAGTACAATGGTAAAATAGTTGCAGCGAGAATACTCCTGGATAGTGGAGCAAACACATCTCTCATCAGTGCTGAATTGCTTCCTGAACTAGAAGATAAAATTAAAGATGGGGGCTCTATTAATGGGATTGGTGGTAAGCAGAAAACAGGGGACCCAGTGCAATGTGATGTGATGTTTCACTCGGGATGGACCCAGACTCACTGGATGAAACCTACATTCTTACCCGCCCAGCCGGACTTGGTTATCCTTGGTACGGACTTTATGCAGAAGTTTGGGAAGACCGGATTTGATTGGGAAAAGGGTCGCGTTAAGCTGGGCGAACAGTGGGTATACTGCCTACTCAGCGAGGACAAACAACCTACATACAACATCAACCCGGAGCTTTCTAATGAAGAAGTAGGTAATCTTAAAAATGTGGTAGATGAATTCAAAAATGTTTTTGCATCTAACCCCAAAGCCCCTCGCAAATACAAGGGTCCTCAACACTATATTGTAAGCGAAACTAATAGAGTTAGCTTTGATAAGCCCAGGAGAGTCCCTGAAAAATGGATGGGACACATCAACCGCCAAATTGACGAAATGTTAGAGAATGGGATCATTGAACCGTCTGCATCGCCATACAACAGCAATGTAATCATAGTTGATAAAAAGGGTGGGGATAAACGCTTTGTAATTGATTATCGTTCATTAAATAAGGGCACTATTAAAGACTCGTATCCTTTACCTAACATAGACGAGCTTATAGACAAATGCCAAGGCGCAAAATACTTTACGCAACTTGACCTTGCGGCTGGTTACTGGTGTGTGCCTATCGCTGAAGAAGATAGACATAAAACAGCATTTAGCGTGCCGCGCGGTAAATACCAATGTTTAAGAATGGCATTTGGACTCAAAAACTCAGGTCCTACTTTTCAGAGGAATATGGATGCTATTGTGAAGAGTGCTAAGAAGAACATGACTAAGGAGCAGACTCAAGATGGTTCTGGATTGGACGATTACTCTGACAACCTGATACTATTCTCCAGGAATCTGGAAGATCATGTGAGTATGCTTAAGATCGTCATGAATGAATTGAGGAAAATGAACATGTCACTCAGAGTTGACAAATGCGAATTTGGCTACACTAAGATTGACTTCTTGGGATTTGTTATTGACGGAGTTAGTGTGGGTCCTTCTGAAACTAATATAGATAAAGTCAAGCAGTTCCCTAAACCCAAAAACAAGAAAGAAATCCAAAGATTTCTGGGGTTAGCTAATTTCAACAGAAGATTCATCAAGAATTATTCCACACTAGCTAAACCATTAACCTCCCTTGTTTCAGAGAAAGTGCAATTCGAGTGGGGTGCAACTCAAGAGGAAGCTTTCACAGTGTTAAAGGATAAGCTCGGCAATGTGAACAACCTTTACCTACCAAAGTGGAAGGAACCGTTTCACATACAGACTGACGCCTCTGGCATTGCGGTGGGAGGTATGCTCTATCAGATGGATAAAATTGGTCAAACCTGCCCCATCTCGTTCCATTCCCAAACACTTACCAAGGCGGAGACAAGATGGGACGCTACTGATAGAGAACTTTGGGCTATTATCAGCTGCCTAAGGAAATGGAGAGTGTATTGCTGTGAAGGAAAAGTAACATTCCATACAGACCACGAGCCACTGAAAAATATCCGCAACCGAAAAGACCCCCGGAACAAGATAATGAGATGGTTAAATGAACTCGAGGCTGTCGAGTATGAAGTTAGGTACATCCCTGGAGAATTGAATGGAGTAGCTGATAGTCTGAGCAGAATTGTGGTAAAGACTGACATTAAAACGGAAAGAAGCGATGCAGAAGCAGAAAGTCACATTTATGCTGAGTTGAGTAAAGGTGGAGAGAATGACAGCTCATTGAAAAATGCCCAAGACAACGATGCCTGGATCAAGTGGACTACATCTAGAATACGGAACAACAAGGTTATCTCTAGAGGACCTTATAAAAACACTAAATATCTAAGTGTCGACAGCTCAGGGCTGTTGTATAAGGGAAGACGTATTGTAGTGCCACCAAGCCTTCAAGATAAAATAATTCAGGAGTACCACTGTCAAAGCCATCCCGGGCCAGAAATAACCGCAACCCAAATCAGGGCTAGGTTTTGGTGGAGAAGTTTATCTAAACAGGTAGATGCTTTCACCAAAGACTGTAGAACCTGTATTCAAGCCAAGAGTAGACCTGATAAGGCTGAAATGATTATCACTGATGTCCCTAAACCCCACGAGATGATTTCCTTTGATATAGGCTCAATGCCTAAATCGCCCAAAGGTAATTGTTGTTTCATACTGTGTGTCGACCTATGTACCAAAATGATAAACGCTACGGCTTTGCCCAATCAGACATCTAAGGTCCTCAAAGAAGCATTTTGGGAGAAACATATTGCCTATTATGGAGTACCTAAGATTCTAGTCTCTGACCAAGGCCCTAATGTAGACAAATCAGCCATCAAAGAACTGTGTGATGAGCTTGGTATCGAGAAGCGCCACTCAAGCCCATACCACCCACAGGGGAATGGATCGGCTGAAAGATCAATTCAAACCGTTAAAGACAGACTGCGTGCTATGATAATAGCCAGGCAGACGCCTGTGACAGATTGGGATACCCTTCTTCCAGAAGCTGTGTTAGAGATGAACAGTCAAATGAACAAGTCGCTTAAGGCATCACCATTCTCGTGTACTTTTGGTAAAGATGCTAGACTAGCAGTTGATAATTTCTTCCAACTACCAAGTATTACCAATGAGCTCAGTCAAGAAGAGATCTTAGTAGCAGCTAATCACAACCGTGACATGGCCAAGAAAGCATACAAGATTCAACATGACAAGAATGCCTCAAAGGAGAGTAAGGAATGGAAGCAAGGAGACCGAGTGCTAATAAAGCGTACACATGGTAAACATAAAAAGATCTCGCCCAAATGGGTTGATGGACCGTTCCACATTGTTAGGAAACTCAGCAATGTCAACTGGGAAATCACTGATTCTAAGGGTAAACATAGAATTTATCACAGTAACCTGATGATGGACGCAGGCACCAGAAAAGAACCTGTTGCAAGCAGAACATCAACAGATACTGAAGAGGTGGAATCAACAAACACACCAAGACTCCATGAGATCATCATGCCATCGTTACCCACTACCAGTTTTATAAAGGCTCCTGATCCTACACTACTGATATCTACTACACCTACATCGCCGGTAGAAAACCTTTTGGATCAGACACTAAAAGACACCCTTGATACGCAGAGATTTAGGGAACATGTTCTGTCAGAAAGCCCTGAAGCAATAGAGGATTGCCTAAGGGATCCTGAGGATACCATTGATGAGATAGAGATTGCTACTGAGGAGAGTACCGAAACTACGGAAGAGGTCGCTACTGCAGAGGTTATACCTACTTCATCTAATGCTACACGCTCAGGCAGAGTCTCTAAAGCTGTAATTGGTAATAGACTCATTGACCAGATTAAATAGACTTTTGAATTTATAAACACTTTTTTATTATGACTGTAATCATTAGTGTTTAATGTTATTAGTTGATACCTTGATAGTTTTCTAAACACGTTTGTACCGCCAGATTTATATGGTTTTTAGGGGAGTTATTGAATTATTTATGATTGTTCTTGACCTATTTTGATATGGTGTTTATTGAAAATGTTTTCGAGAATGTATGAGAACACTTTTGTTTTTGAGAGATTTATCAAGTTCATATTTTAAAATTATTTTATTTTTTCGATATCTGTAGGGTATTTGAAATAGACTCAAACTAACTGATGCTATTTATTAATTCTTTTAATTTATTGAACATTGTTAACCTTATACGATTTTAACTGGGCTTGAAATTTTCATATAGAATTGGGTTTTTCAACTTTTGAAGAGAGGGTGTGATGTCAGCCTATTTTATATACTATTATCTAACGACATCCCC